TGAATGTTCTTAGTGGTGATATTTGATTAAAAATAGATACAATAATTACTAACTTAAAAAAACCTCAAATTTACATGATGCTAAGTGAATATTTCAGTTAATTAACAATTAGTTATTGTAAAATTATTATCCATAGTTTACTTTTTGGCCAAATTTCTGTATCTACAAAAATATTACTTCAAACCGGAATAATTGTCTCAATTTAAATACTTGATTTTATTAAATGCTATTCAAATACATTTCTCAGGCTTATGAATTATGAAACATTGAATTTAAAATTTCTACTATCTTATATATTAGGTACATTTAATTAAATATATATTAATTTTAATTTTGATGTTACGAAAATATATTCTTATTATAGGTACTGTATTACTATTTACTATCATTAATTTGATGAATCGATTCAAAAGTAAAAGTTATTTCAAAATAAAAATTTAAATATTGATCTGTGATCACTATCTTTTTATATTGTTTTGATGTTGGCCTGTGAACTTGAAAGTGTCGGATGATGCACAGCAGGACCTTGAGATAAAATTCTTAATCTATTGTTACCTGCTATATCGTGACCATTCCATCTTAAGAAGTACGGTAATATCCGTATAAAATATTTTATAAAAAATAAGGCCAAGGGTATGTTATATTCTCATAAATAACTTTCTTCTGTATTTTTAACATTTTTTGTTTTTACTCGCTCTACAATAAAATATACTATAGTGAAGATTAAATAATACTGAATAACTTAATAAATGTTATATATTTTACCAATAGGTTATCTTATTAATTCTAATTTTGATTTTATATTTATATATCATAACATGTACAATATACTGACAGTACTACAGTACTACAGTTCTTACAATCAGGGGTTATATTCCTGTTTTTTATTTAACTTATAACATTGTTTAATTTATTTTGAAGACTTATTAGAAATAAAAAATTTAATTTTAAAACATAATAATGCTCGATTTCTTTTTATTAAATTTACTTTCACGTCAAACTAAGTGCATATCAAAACATTTGAACATTGTTTATAAAGAATAAACTATTTCATATGTTGTTATACATAATAAAATAATAGTCCTAACATAAAAGACTTATTCTCTTTATATTTAAATATGACCATAAGCTAATACTTTTATAAAGAGTAATTTAAATAGTTCCTATAGTTCACTGTTTATTAAATCCATTGTATTGGTCAATAATGGTTATACTAAATTATTATTATTATTTGTATAAGAATATAATCAAGACAAATAAAAATGAAAAGCGAACTTTATGAAAATGATAAATCAATTTTTAATAAAATAATTATAATTTAAACCTTTCTTATTTGACTATACCCTTATTTTGTACATGTCTACATGATTAATTTTATTTCAATTATTAAATTTCCTAACAAATTTATTTATTTTTTTTTGTTTGTTAGTAATTTTCCTACAATCTTATTTTTTTAGACAAAAAAAAAAATTTTAATTGTATTTGATATTATGATATTATACTTCATACTTCAAATTCTTGTTATATACTATCTTATTTGCTCACAAATAATTATTTTCGAAAGTAAAGAAATGAGCAGGTGCATGATACATCGTTGTTAAATTATACGTTTTTCACTGTACGCATGATTTATACCTTTTTTTGTAAGAGGGTTGGACCCTTTTGGACAACATTAAAAAAAACCAGTTGTTCCACTTAGTGGAAATCTACCCACATTATATTACAAAAATATATCTCCTACCTAAATTATAAAAATACAATGTTCGATGATTTTCTCTCTAAAATACTTTAACCACATTCCATAGTAAATATATAAGAATCATATTGCCTATATATCATTACATCAGAATATTATAATCAATAGTGAGTAACATGATTTATAAATATACATAATGAATCAGACTTAAGACATATAGTAGTATAGTTCTATAAATTATAAATTATATAATAAAATACTATAAAAATGATCCTAGTTATTCTAATGACTAAATATACTTGAATACTTTTAAAAATGTTTCAAATAATTTTAATGTTCAATGAATAAAATAATTTTTTCGATCTTTATTAATAATAAAAATATATTTAAATAATTGAAGAATATATATACGAATACTAAATTAAAACATTAAAAATTATTGATAATACTAGAACTCGTATACTTTGTTTTACCCGTAAATAATTTTTTTAAACATAAGAACTGTTTATTGTATATGCTATGTATGTATTTGTTTTTGTTAGTTAATGTGATATTGCATTTACATTTTTATTTATACGTTTTGTTAAGTGAAACAATAGATGGCGTAAGTGAAACTTTTACCGGGGGGTCATAACATTATCTCTCAGCAGGTCATCTGTATTCCAAACATCATTTGAAATACAAAAAAACTTCTATATGAAAGTAACAGTAACAAGCCCATTTTCTTTGTTACGCTTAGTAGCCCCTGTTAACATATATTATACACGTAACTAAAACAAAATAAAAATTGGTCATTTCAATTGTGTATCATTTTTAACTTTTTGAAAGTCTGAAAAGATAGTTACACAACTCATATCAACATTTTTTCAAAGTTATATAATCTCAAAGAAAATATAACTATTTCTAGTCTGTTAAGGGTAAGGAAGAGTTGCATGACCTTATACTATATAAGAACAATCATCGGGGTTTAAGAAGGGGTCAGTCAACAATAGTAGTGTAATTTTCGCTTTTTGCCCGTCCGTTGTCGAGTCCACTCATTTGGAACTGCAAAAACCACAGACGCTACAGAAAAATGATGATTTTCTTTGCCGATTGAATAAAGCACGTCGGTTATTTTCGTTTGATTCGAAGATCGTAAATAAGAATACCGTGGAGAAAAAAAATTGTATTCATATATATATATATATACACACACACATACAACCGGTTCTACCTCACTAGGAACGTGCTCTAGGTTTTCTGACGTTTCGTCTATTCAACCAATGATGTTTGACGATCACCGTATTTTTCGTCAGTAAGTTTCCCACATAATCATTATTTATAGCCATAATTTATATAATGCTATAATACATAAAACAACGAAGACCATACGTGAGAACTGTTTTTTGCTTGTTATTAGTAAATTTTTTTAAGCAAAATCTTTAATTTTATACAATTTGTATTATATTAAAATTTATACAAAAATAATTGTAATATATTTCAACTCCCGTAACAAATTAAAACATAATTTTAATTTTATGATAAGTGTTTTCACACCTGATAATATATAATATAACCTCTAATATACAATATATGTACACTACCTTTTATTTAACATGCCGTAACTTTGTATAAATCTTTTTGGTGGGTGAGGGTGATTATGAAATTGGTAATTCTCGTAAAAAAAACTAACTGTATAAAGTTACAACGTATGATTTATAAACGTTATATTATTATAATCACATATTAAATATCAAATCATTGCAAAAAGATGGCTATTACATAAGTGTATCATCTATACGATGGATATTTTATGGTACTATAGTAAAAATTCCAGGTTGATGTTAATACTGATGTCTAGTCATGAAATTTATCTCAGGAAAAATGATAAGATTTTACAAAACTAATAAACTAATATATGATAAGATTTGACAAAACTAACATAGTAGAATTTGAGTTGTTGCCAACCATTGAAGAGGTTAAATCACACGGACCATGACCACTCCCTCCGCTTTCACTGGCTGCGTTCCATCCGGCCGGAAGACCTACATACAGGAAAGTTTCCAGGCTGTAACTACTCCGTGCAAACGCATATATGATTATATTATATTAATATATGCACGATACTGATTATTATAGACATACACACATGACAAAACGTGTACAGACAATTTCCAAAGTCAATTTTGAGTCATGGCGAGATGTTTACTGCAGTTATCTTCTAGATTGTTTCGACACAATGCATTACATTATATATGTTTAAAATAACGAGCTTAGTGATTCGATGAATTATGACTATAATACAAAAACATTTAAAGCAACATTTCAATGCAGCATTCGTGTATACTTAATTTAGTATTATTTTGATAGTACATGCATAATAATTGTTCGACCGAAGCGAAACTAATTGAATTTTCTTCGGAGAATCATATTATGTGCGACTTCTTCCGGAAAACTTAAATCGATGTATTCATATGAACTGCCGATATAGTGAGCACAAAGAGTTTTCGGTCCAAAAACGAAACAATTTATCGCCAAGTAGTACATATGAATATTAGTATTATTAGAGATAATACTTATAAATACTTAAAGCTTATTAACATACAATCTACCTGTTTTAATTGGGAAATAAATAACTAATATATTTTTACAATATTTTAACGCTAGCAAAATATACTTACAAAAATACCAGCCACGATTAAAAATACATACTTTATTAAAATAACAGTTACAGTTTATTTTCTCTATTTCTTTCTCATTGAATGTATTTTTTATGATTACCACTATTATAATTGAGGTAAAAACAACGATGTTTATGTTGATCCATGCTCTCTGACCCACAAACCCGATCGTTCGATGAGACCGTGATGCTATTGGATCTTATGATTTTACATGGCAAATTCGTTTTGGTTTTCACGCGTAAACTAAAAAGTAAAGTAATATGACTATTTAGAGCTTGAGTAGTTCCATATAAAAACATTAATTGAGGAATTATAACCCGTAAATGGGATAACACCATTGTATTAATTAATGTCATAACCATTATCAAATGTGTATAATAATATTACGAAAGAATGTAGCGTAATTTATAAATAATATACAAAATGATCAAAAGATAGAATAATACTTATTTTAAATGATCCAGTATGGAATACCAGTATGTCCTAATACTTTTGTTTTAAATAAATATAATATTCAAATGAATAACTTATCAATTTATAATTATACCTATCAGTTATAGGAATAGATATATATATATCATTGTGGACGACATATCTGTTAATATATATTTATATAATAATGTGTAATGTAATATTTTTTGCAGTGTTAAATGTGGCTGCAGGTAAAGCTCCTATGCAAATCAGTTCAGAACCTGGTGGTCTACCACAAAAAGCCATCGACGGTAGCACCAGCTCATTCTTCAGTCCCGAAACTTGCACCCTCACTAAACCGGAACGTACCCCATGGTGGTATGTCAACCTATTAGAACCTTATATGGTTCAGTTGGTGAGATTAGATTTTGGAAAAGCTTGTTGTGGTAAGTGCTTAAATAATAAATATACTGAAAAAAAAACAAGCAAATAATATTTTAATCATAATATGTATAATACATAATATATAAAATAATAAATTTAATATATTTTAATTATAAGTATATTGTAAAATAATTGCACATATTAACAGTAATTACCATCATTAACGTTGTTAAAATATAATAATATTACTATCATATATAAAATAAACAACTATACGAGTTTGCCTGTATGCAAAATTGTTTTCAATGATCTGTTTAAATTAAAATAACGTAAATCTTATTATTACATTATAACCATTATTAATTGAATTTAATTAACTGAAAAATAGTTAATGTAATTTCATTAAAGAAAATAAAAACAATTTAAATGATAATGAATACAATATGGAAAAATTCCAAAAGATAAATTACCTAATACATAAACATAACAATTGAAATTGAGTACTCACAAGTCCAATAATTAAATAATAGATTAAATATAAACTGATTATTGAAAATTATTTTCAGCTAGCGCTTTGCCGTCGAGTGCTGTATAAAATAATATAAGATATTGTAAACTAATACCAAAATCGTAGTAAATCGAACGTTTTTAATTAAATACGGTTATTCAATAATTATATCAAATAACTAAATAATATGAAACATCAAGTCTAAGTCGGCATAAATTATAGGCAACTAATCATTCACCTACCACACCTACAAAATGTACATATGCGTATTAATTAAAACGTGTTGTGGTACGGTGATTGTTTAGTTGCCTATCGAATATATGTACCTATCTGTAATATAACATATACTCGTAAATATATATATATATATATATAAATATTAACTCCTAACTATGAAACTAGTCCATTACTAAGAATGTTCTATTAGTAGACATGGTTCACATTCTATTGTATTTCATAAACGTTTGACTAAGTCACTAGATGATCTTTTTTTAATTTTAATTTTCAGGAGTGTCGTTAGTGGGAGGCGCCTCCAATTAAGTTTCACTACTTATCTTTTTCATATCTACTTGTCATAATTCATGCTTGTTACTTATTATACTGATGTTAACGTTTGTACAGATAACAAAATTCAAACAAATATTAATAATACAATTTAAGTATTTAAATTATACGTAAGACATTTTTTTTAATGTATTATGAAACAGTAAAATCTCTTTAATATTTTATTAATTAACCAAATTTGGTCACTTTAAAAACAATACATTACAATAAATATTGTATATATTTTAATATATACAATAAATTAAAATTTTAATTAGATTTTACTATCATACAAATTGTTATTAAATAGGTCATTTTATCTAACACTCTTTAACTTATTAAGTTATGAGTATCGTGAAGCTTAAAAGTTTATTTTATATTTTTTATTAACTAACATCAATATTTATATAAAATAAAAATAAAACTTATAAGTTACATGATGATAAAGTTAAATTGAAAAATAAGAGTTGTTATTCAAAGTTTGAACAAAGTTTATTTAAATAATTAAATTACTTTAATAATTATAATTTAAAATAATATACCAAGAAATCTTCTTGTTATATTTATTACAATAATTTCGATCTTAATTTTAAATAGTGTTTACCTATTGACAAATATTTAATACATTTTGAATTTTAGTATAAAATTTAATTGATTCTTGAGAAAGTCAATACATTTTTATTTTTTTACTAACGATAAATAATATATTGGTTTTAGAATGAAAAATGTTTTCACTTCAGAAGGCATTTGTTAGATATTCTATTTATAATAAAATATAGTTTATTACTTTCAAGCTATTTATATTCATGGAGATATTTTTGGTAAATTAATAACAATGACTTAAATCACTACATAGTTCATATATGATATCACTCAATATTCTATTAGCACGTGCGAAAAACGTGCACAAGAAACCGGTCAAAGAAAGTGGTGCCCATCTAAACTAGGTACACATATAGGTACCCATATTATATTGTTGCTTCTTTTATGTAATAAAACAATAAAAATATTTAGTTATTGAGAAATAACTTTTCACACAGTCTAAAAATTTCTCAAGTCAAACAGCTTGTCATAATGATACGCTCATGAACGTTTAAGCTAAACAATATAAACATATAAAAAAAAAAATTGTCTGTCTTATATTTATTACAATATTGTATTATATACCTGTATGATATTATTCACAGGAAAGAACAAACCAGCCACGATAATTGTGCGAGTGGGAAACAATCGACCTGATCTAGGCACGAATCCAATATGCAACCGATTCACTGGGTTTATTGATGAAGGCAAACCGTTGTTTCTTCCGTGTAATCCGCCTATGCCAGGAGCATTTGTTAGTGTCCACATGGAGACAACTAGTGGATCTACTCAGCTATCAATATGTGAAGCTTTCGTTTACACCGATCAAGTATGTTTTATAATCATACTATAATTATGACACAAGTAAATAAACAAATAAATTTAAATATAAATGATTATACTATATATATAGACACTATACGTATATAGGAAATGTGGTTTAATATTTAAGGATAAATGATATAAATATGAAAATATTTTTAAAGATTTTTAATATTATATCGGATCCTGGCGCCAAAAATTTCTCCTTTCTTTCCTCTGGTAATTTATGTTTTTAGCTATTATTACGTTAATTGTTAATATTATTTCTAGGCGTTACCAATTGAAAGATGTCCACAATTCAGGGATCAACCCCCAGGAAGTACTGCTACGTATAACGGAAAGTGTTATATATTTTATAATCGACAGCCTATGAACTTAAGAGATGCTCTAGGTTTTTGTAGATCAAGAGGAGGGACATTGGTTGACGAAAGCAACCCTGCATTACAAGGATTCGTTAGTTGGGAATTGTGGAGAAGACACAGGTACATTTTAAAATCCAAATAACTAAAATTAAATTTTATTTCATTCATATAGAAATATAAACTAATTAATGCAAAATTTTTCAGGAGCGATTCACAAAGTCAATACTGGATGGGTGCTGTAAGAGATAGCCATGATAAAAATAATTGGAAATGGCTGAACGGTGACGATCTAACCGTATCATTTTGGAGTGTTCCAGCAAGTGGACCTGAAGCAACAGCTTTAAATGGCGGCGACTGCGCACGATTCGATGGTTCTAAAGGCTGGTTATGGTCAGATACTAACTGCAATGCTCCACTAAATTTTATCTGTCAACACCGTTCGTATTATTTATTTAGCTAATAAAATCTAATATTAGATTAAAATATGAAAACTATATAATTTACTGATATACCATATAATATTATTTTATTTTAAAATATAATATAGATTCTAATATGAGTGATACTCTTATTATAACATTTTATATACATGTGGTTATGTTTCGTAATTCAAATAGTGTTAGAAATAATTAAACAGACAATTGAAAATCTTATCAAGTTGATTTTTAAGATTTTTAAAATGTTCCGAATTCTTCTAACAAATTATAAAATGTAATAATATCTTTAAATACTAACTTTGATACTTTCAGTGTACACAATATATTGTAGAAAAAGTAACTTAGTTTCAAATATTTTTCAGGTACAATGGTTAGTTATTACTAGTTAATATTTATATTTATTTTATTCATTGTAGCAAACCCGGTATCGATTTGAATTTAATTTTTAATTTTTATATATAGAACCTAATGCGTGTGGTAGACCAGAACAACCACCAAATTCAACAATGCTCGCCGAAAACTTTAATGTTGGCTCATCGGTTGAATATTCTTGCGATGAGGGTAATTTGTTGATTGGTCCTTCGACTCGCACATGTCTCGGAACAGGATTTTATAATGAGTTTCCACCAGTCTGTAAACGTAAGCTAAAACAATTTAATTTTGTAAAACATTATCTAAGTTAAACGCAATGGTTTTTAGGAATTCAATGCGGCTATCCTGCGGAAATTTCCAATGGCAGTTATAAGTTAATTAATGGTACGATAAACTATTTAAGCCAAGTACAATACAGTTGTGCTGAAGGATTTAAAATGAATGGTAGAGATCGATTAATTTGTGATTTAGATGAAAGATGGGATGGACCACCTCCAAAGTGTACAGGTAAAATAAGCAATATTTGCATTTATGTTTCTAACTTAAATTTAATCAACAATTAACCTTTCTATTAAGTTCAAAAATGTGACGATCCCCCAATAATATCAAACGGTGAATACCAAATGTCAAACAATGAAAGTACCGTTGGAACTTTAGTGGAATATTCTTGTGTGACTAGACGATTTCGTTTGGTAGGACCTAAACAATTAGTCTGTTTACCAAGTGGTCAATATGATAATAAGCCACCTTATTGTAAAGGTTAGTACTACAACTATGAATATATTACATTTAAATGACTGTATGAATTATATTTACGACATGTTTTAATATTTTTTAATTTAGAAGATATTATTAAAACACCAGCGGTAACACCGATTTTAGTAACTAAAACTATATCTACCAGTACTGTTCCTAGTAGTCGTGCACCACCTTCTCCTTCTACTAGAGAAAAATCAAGACCATTCACAGTCAAACCTACTATATTAACTAAACCAATCAATGACCAAGTAAGTTATAATTTAACGTAAATTCTACGACAAAGAAAAGTAGGAGCATTCTATTTGGGTTACAAATTCGAAGCTTAATAGTTTATGAGAGATAATTAGTTCAAATCTGAAAATTCGGACTTTATCAACCGGAAACTTAGTAAATGTTACTTTCACTTCATCAGGACGATAGCGGCCAGACGTCGTCAAATGTGGTAATTGCATCGGCGCATCCGCATGACAACGAGATTCCAGACAGTGTTCACGTCCGAACAAATCCAAACGCTGCAAACATACCGTCTCAGGTGGAAAGCGAACACCGACTTGGCCCTAAACTGAATTTAGGTAATTTACCATTAATTTGTATGATAATCAAAATTAACGTATCAACAATATGATTACTGAGTGATGATTATATTTGTAAACAGGGGCAATAATCGCGCTGGGAGTGTTCGGAGCATTCGTATTCCTGGCAGCAGTTGTGACCACAATCGTTATACTAGTTAAAAGGTAACATAATTTTAATACCGTCCGGTGTTCGCAGTGTATAGGACTATAATTTAAATATACGTGTATTTGTGTGTGTGCGCGCGCGCGCGCGCAGGCGTGTGTGTATGTGTGCATTTGAAATCCTTGAGTGCGTCTATGCGACTAACAAAAATCGCTTGTCGGCTGCTATATGTGGGCTGTTTTGTTTTTTTTTTTTTGCAGCAATAGGAACCACAAACTTCCATCCAGCTCACATAACATGCCGTCTCGATGGTATACACTTCTAGCAATGCCGTTCCCCGACCAGCAAGTCGGACGGCGTCAGTTCTCTAGGGCGTATAGAAGCCGAGCTGGCTATTTCTCTAACCCATTATGACGCGCAATAACCGCGCATCGATAAGCACATAATTTTAACGTGTACTATAGCGAACAAAAAAAAAAAAAAACCATATACCTATCCAAACCTATAAGTCTAAGGTACGACTGATATGTATCACAACAACAATTGTCTAATCGCACGCTATGTATTCTCGTCCAACTATAAAAAGAGCACCGCTGTTTTATCACACGCTACGCTTTTATTTTTCGCACGCTTAAGCACGCAAAACATTATATTATTGTATTGGCTCTGGTGCATTTATATTGTAATGAGTCCAGAGTTCTTCGACAAGACGTTAATGGGGATCATACAGCGCTTAAAGCAGGGAAGGGTGTCTCGTGGCGCTTAAAAAGCCTCCCTTTTAAGGCTTTAAAATTTCTCTGAAAAGTATAATGGAACGTTCAATTATTTGATCAAAATAATCGTCCACATTAAAAATAATTATTATTTACAAAAAGCTAATAAAAATAAAAAAAATAAATAATTATTCAAAGTTTCGTTTTGTAATACACATTAAAAAAAATATATATATTTTATTTTATAAATATCGACTGTTACGTCTAGTCAGCTGTCGAAAATAGTTGTTACTTCCAAGAAACAGATAATAATAATAAATAATAATTAATAATTATAATAATAATTTTACGTTAATTAATAATAACGTAAATAATAATTATTTCGTATATTAATTTTTCACGTGTATAATAAATATAATCAGGATTAAGATGTATATGTGACAGTGTATTATTTTTTGCGACTTCTGATATTACTCTAATATCCCCAAATAACTCCACGATGAAGTTTATGGTACTGTTTTTATTATTTATTATAAATTTGCATTTTTTTTAATAGAATGCATATTGAATAAGACGGATATTATTGTGCATCTTAATTAAAAAAAAAAAAAAAAAAAAAAAATGAATATTCTGTGGTAATTTCGGTACAACATTTCAACACGTGAAAGTATATACTCATATATTGACGCTGTACAAAAATACGTGTGTACGTTGTGTATTGTAAGTGAATTGTTTAAATTTGGTTTACAAAAATATAAAATACCAAAAATTCAAATTAGCAGTATGTAACTTTAACAGTTTATCGAAAAATTTTAAACTAAAGTTTTTAAATCTATGTATTTGATACTTAATGTTTTAAATGACAGAACTTTGGATTCCGATTTCACAAATCTAACTACTGGGGAAGCAACAAAATTTAGATACACGAAAATTATGTCATGCAATGTCTAACTATAAAACATAATTTTAGGTCTTTCATATTGAAAATTAAAAACACAGGGTAAAATTGGTATGACACATTTGAACAGCGTTAATAGCTTGTAGAACAATATTTTATTAATTTTAAAACGTACCTAGTAAAACTTTGTTTTTTATTTTTGAAGCATTTAACCGTATTATATGGCATTTATAATATTCATTGGATATTTTTAATCATTTCTTAATGCATATAAGCCCCAATTCTGCGTAAAACTAAAGTAGTATTGGTAATTTTATTGGAAATGTATATGGAACGCTCGAAATGGTATGATTGGGATCAGAATTGAGCCTGCGATATTTTTTGTTCTTGTCACTTTAAGCCCTGGAAACGCAGTGTACAATATTATTGTAGTCAAAATTACACGTAAATTCAAAGTATTTGATTGGAATGCGCGCGCGTGATCGTTTTGCAGGAACCGCAGTGCCAAACATTACCGCCACCGAGCGTCACCGGACACGAACACGGTGGCTTCGTTGGACTCGTCCGGGTCGGAGAGCCGGGGCGGACTGAACCGGTACTATAGGCAGGCGTGGGAGAACCTGCACCAGTCGGCTGCGTCTCCGAAACACTCGCGTCAGCACCATCACCACCATCACCATCACGGTGCGGGCGGCAGGCGCAAGGAAACCGTAATGGACTCGTCGCCCCGCGTGGAAAGTATGCGCGACGGTGCTGAGTTGGTCGTCAACGATGTGTACCATCCACGGTCGCAAGACAAAAAACGGCATCACCATCATCATCATCATCAAAGCAGACCGGTTAACAGATATTGAACGATTACAACACGGGGTAGGCTCAAATGAGGATTTCGATGTTGCTTTATGCGAGGCATCGCTCACGCGAGGGTTCCACGTTAAATCTATACTCTACGCATATAAATGTATACCTAGTGAATTTCCATATACATATACAAGAACCTATAATATTTGATTCGTGTATAATAGGTCCAGACCGCAATAGTAGCCATAGTTTATTCCAAAAACGAATAACCCTTGAGTTAAATAAATACCAAAGAATTAGATGTTTTATTTAAAACACGAGATAATGCAAATGATAAATTTCGTTGATTTGATGATCCAAAGAATATTTATATTCATTTTTCTAAATAATACGTTTCGAGCAAGTTGCTTTGATATTTGGTTGAATATATTTACGTGAAAGGTAAATAAATATCTTATATGGACATATTGATTAACAGTGATTTAAAATTATTATTGACAAATGTTAATTCAAGCAGATATCAAAGTATTTATGATTGTTATGTAAATAAAATTATATAATATTTAAAAATAACAATTTAAAATTCGTTATTTAATAAATCTACGTGGTTGTTTTTAAATAACTAACAACTGTATTTAAAATCTGCATTTATAAAAATAAAATTTACAATTGAGTATTGATTCATTGAAAAACTCAAATCTACGATAATATTGATTGTTTAATCTTATCGTGTAAAATATTCATACATTTAGTGTGTACATATTTGATGTAACAAAATAGTGAATAGTAAATAGAAACAGTTGAAATTAGATAATTTTCCAGGAAAGTCTGAATACCTAGTCTAATATGCTAATTGTTTGGCTTTTTATTCCAACAACAACATTTTTCAATACTTGCGATTTTGAAGTCGTTTACTTGTTACAATAAGTTATAACTGTATACTTTATTTCTATATTTTGTTATCTCTATTGTATTATCACATACACATTAATTTATATTTGATTAAGAGTTGACATGTTTCTATGTTGTATAACACTAATATTGCAACTTATCAACGACTGACAGCTAGGAAAGGATGGAAGCTTAAAGTCAACAACAAAAAAAAAAAAAATTGGAATCCTCATTTTGGTCTTTTAAAAATATAAGATCCCCTATAAATTATAGTGTCAGCATTGGGCATAATATGTATTATATATAATGTTACCTTTTCTGACGTTGAAGTTTAAGTCAATACTATTTAAGCTTGATTATTATTACTATATATATTTATATGTATTATGAATTATTTATTTATTTATATATAATACTATTTTATGATTTTTTGATAAGAACATTTTTTACAAATGCGTTAAAGATAAATATGTTATTTTTATGATTCATTTTTTACATAATTGACAGATTTGTAAAAAAATGAAACATACATAATATTACTGCCAAAGTTAATCGCAACATTATAAAAAAAATATAATATTTTCATCTTGTTTATTTTAGATTATTTAATTATTGAAATTTGTAAATATGATTAACATATCCAAAGTATTGTAATACTTTGACCAATAAACTATTTACATGCGTATCTTTATTTTGTTTGAATTACTATAGGTATAATTACAACGACCATTTTATATTTTCTCTATTATATCCATTGGCGTATTTTCAAATTTTTTGTTAGGGAGTTTTACATTTTTCTAAAAAAATAAGTAATTTTATAATATTATAAAAAATATATATAAGGTATGAATTAATAATTATATTATTCTATTATTATTATTATATATACTAATGAAGAGTTATTTACAACCACATTATATAAATTAATGTACTCTTTCTCTGTACCTTAGTAACAAGTTATTTATGACATTTGAACTATTTTTCTTCTGAGGGTGGTGGGGTCGAGACCCAGAAAACCCCTCCAAAAATATTTCACTTATAATGTCTATATTATAAACATCAATAGTATATTGTAAGGAGTGTCATGACTGAGTGGATTAGGTGACCGACTTAATGCAAGGTCACGATAGTTCTGAGAGAAGAAACTGCTTCTAACCACTAACTGTTTCAAAAAATAAGTTCCAGCTAAATCATTTCAACAAAAGTTTACTTTTTAAGTTTTAAAAAAGCCTACTATTCTTCTAACATAAAACACCAAGAACAGAAAGCCAATGTCCTTGTAGACAAAGTCTTATTAAACAAAAAAATAAAAATAAAGTATCTGTGTTATAGTGTATCCTGTAATGGACCAGGTTATTTCATATTATAGCACATATTAAGATAAATTTAATTAACATCAGTAAAACAGGAGAAGATTGAACTAGTAAAATTTTCCTATAAACTAATAAATGTAAAACACCTAGTGATATTTAGTGTTAACCTATTGAATTTTACCTATTGAAAATATAAATTATAAAATGTTATAAATTAATATTAAATCTGTTTATTTGAGAAAAATAACATTTATTAAAACAAACTGCTCAGCATTTAGGTTACCTGTATGACGCAGTGTAAATATTCAGACATTTGTTACGTAATTTTAAACATAATTAACATATAATATATGTATTGCAATATTGTAGTATATAAAAATGAGAAAAAAAAAAGAAAAAAGAGCTAAAATATAGTTTAATTAATGACAGTTGTTTGTTACTTATAAATTAAATACGTTGAAAATAATATAATAATATGATAAATAGACGAACTTGGAAATGATAAATTATAAGATTTCCATTTTTAGCACCTACACTTTAATCCCTTGCATTATAAGTTGGATTCAGTACCATATAATTTTATCTCAATGTTAACACTATGTGAACAAATGTATATCAAATGGATACTGTGAATATATTGAAAAAATATTTACAAGTATAGATATTTCATATAGGATATGGAAGATTATTCCATTTTAGAACAGGTCTGTGGTATTACCACAATATTTTATTAAATAACAATATAAAATTAAATAACATTATTTTTATTACAATTTAAATTGTGTCGTTATAAAATAAATTTTTACAATATATAATTTTTATTTACCTAATCAGAAAAATTTTAAATTTTATTATATTAAACATAAATTACTTATTACTAACTTTAAAAAAAAATATATTAAAAATAGTTAAACAGATATAATCACCTTTAAACAAGTACATTTATATATGCAAATAAAATTATTTGATAATAAATCATCAATAAAACTGAAGATATTTTTAAAATATACATATTACAAATTACAGTAAAAATGTTATTTTAAATTAGATATAATTTGTTTTTGAGCTATTTTACAAATAGCATTAAAATCACATTTTATATGGATACGCCAAAATGGGGAACGCCCCCAAACATATGCTGGATAGTTAGGACTTTCAATACCATGAAATATTCTAGCTATTGCACGAGCGGTAAACTTACAATCTATATAACTATTTAATATTCGGTTAACATCTGAAGCAACTTGAGTTTCATCTGTTTTATTTAAAAATACTTCTTCCTAAAAAAAAAAAAAAGTAAGGATATTATTTTATTCTTAACTTGAGTATTAAACTAACTTAATGGTTATTTGTAAAAATAAAATAAAATAACTAACAAGTGGTTTTTGAATAAGAGTTGATAGGTTGTCAAGTGTAAAATATTCCCTTATAGATTTCTTTAATTTTTCACATAAATCTATATTAACATCATTGCAACAGTCAAAAAATGTAGATGTTGAAGCACTAGACAAAAAAATATTTAATTAACATAATTTTATTATTGTAAAAACAGTTTAAAATGAAGACCAAATGTACCTCATGAATGTTTCAAAACAGTTTTTTAATTCTGAGAGTGATTTTGTTTCTTGTTGATGTGATATAATAAACAAATTGCATAGAGTAGAATCTAATAGTTCTGCATTCATGTTACCTGGAGCTAATACTCTAAATCCGAGACAAGAAAATTCAACTATTACTCCACTTTTTTTAAACTTGCCATCAACTATAAAAATAAATAGAATCATTAACACTACCACAAAAACATTTTCAAATTTGTGAATTACTCAGTATTAAGATTTAAGAAAGCATGTTAAACTCTATAACATGATTAAGTTTATTAGTTTAATATTATCTCACTTAACAAGATAATTAAATATCAGATTAACAAAAAATTACCATTTGACCATTCCAAATTTTTCAATTCTTTTTTAACAATACCACTTTCCCATCCAATCGCAGCAGCTACTTCAAAAATTGAAAATTCGATTTGATTTTGATTAATGATAGACTCTCCAAGACTTTTCTTCAGAGCAAAAGCAACAGCAAGAGGTGGACACTAAATGTGTGACAATATATTATTTTAGAATGTTATTAGTGAATAGTGATCAATGATAATATAATGTGGCTCATAAATATATAGGAGTGATCAAACTATAAAGTTACACAAATATTTTTAAGAATTTAATTTGATTTTGAAGTGTTATAAAAACTACGAAAAATTGTAATTCATAAACATTATTTATTTTTGTCATTTTGTGGAATTTAAAAATGTATAGTGAAACATATATCAGTGAAAAATTTGATAAGATTAAATAAACATAAGACATCTTGATAAAATATACTACATTTTGTTTGAACTATATTAATTTATTATTTATTATATTAAATATATTATAATAAATAGATAAATATTTATTATATAGAATATTATATTATATTAATATTTAAAGAAATTTTACTTACAATTTTTGATAATTGCTTTAAAAACAATGGTCCTTTATAAGATGTTATTTTACAACGAATATAGGATAATGGCAAATTTTTTACTAATTTTTTTGTATTTAGTTCTAGGTAACATAAAAGTGTTTGAATATTTTCTTGTTTCATGTCTATACTGGTAATGGTATCTTCAATTTCAAAAGAAACTTCATGCTTTGTACATTCATTTTCTTTACATTTACATTGAACAAACACTCTTTCGAGTAATTTACGGATGGAAGCACGGTCAACAGAATTTGAATATACATGACGACTTAGTTCAGCAATATCATTGCCCTAGAATAATATATTAAGTTTAACAATAATAATAAAAGGTATTTGCAAAAAGCAACATTACTTCAGAATCCAAAAACATATGACAATGTGATTCACTCCCATCACGACCTGCACGTCCAATTTCTTGTACATAACTTTCCAAACTTTTTGCCATATTATAATGAATAATACCCTGAAGATTAGACTTATTTATTCCCATACCAAAAGCAACAGTAGCTACAACAATTTTAAGTCTACCTACAAAATAATAATTAATTTTTAAAAATGTAATATTCAGATAGTTTATTAATACTTCATTTTCATTACCATCCATAAAATACTTTTGAGTACGTTTCCGTTTTGCTGCAGTTAATCCAGCATGATATGGCTCTGCAATTTGAGATAACTGACCTCGTTTACCATTTATATGTTGTGACTAATAATTAATGAATAATTAATATAATTAACATACACACATATTGATAAATTTAGTTTAGTTTCTTTTAAATAAAGAATAATGATTAAAGTTATATAAAGCACCTGAAAAGCAATTCTAATAAGAGAAGCAACACGTTCACATTCTTCTCGTCTAATACAATAAATAATTATTGAACTACAATTCTTAAAACGATTTCCATTCAGTAAGCTGATTAATGCTTTATCACGATTTTTATCTCTAGATACACTTAATATAAGATTATCTGGTAATGGTGTATCCTTAATAACTGAATTTGTGACATCATCCAACATCAATTCATTAGCAATACTTGAAACAGTTGAAACAGTTGCAGTTGCGGTTAAACCCAAAAATGTTTTTACACCAAATTTGTCTCTTAATACCTAAAACAAAAATGTAATCAAAATTAAATTAAACGTTCATTTTTTTTATTAATACATTACTTGGCAAATCATTAAATATGATGGTCTGAAATTATGTGACCATTGAGAAAGACAATGAGCTTCATCTAAACAAGCAAATGCAATAGGTGGAAGTTTTGATAACCAATCAGTATTAAAACCAGATACAATCGCTTCAGGAGACAATAAAAGTATTGATAAATCCCCATTGGTCAGTTTTTCTACAATAATATCTCTTTCTTTTGGTGTTTGATTGTTATGCAAACATGCCATATTCACTGCACTTATTCCACAAACCTTAAAATTAATTATATATTTAAAAGCTACTTGTAAAAAATGTAATAAAAAATTACTTGATCTTCCATCAATGATATCAGAGGAGAAACCACTAATGTAATACATTTTGATTTTTTACTGTACAAGTATGATGGTAATTGGTAACACAATGATTTTCCAGAACCTGTTGATAATGTGACTAGAGTTGAGAGACCAGAGAGAATCCTCATGACTGCTTTTTCTTGACCAGGACGGAAATTTGTATGACCGAATAATTTTAAAGCTTCATACACTTCATTTGGTGTATCTAATATTATTTATTATTTAATATTGTTATAAAAAATAAAATAAACGTATGCATAATAAATACCAATAATAGAATTATTTTCAAGATGATAAACAGGAGATACATTTTTATACTTGGAGGTTTCTTCTGATATTGAAGGATATTGAATAGAAATTTCCTAAAAATATGATTATAATTAGTATGCACAAGATTTTTACTAACTTAAATATTACTTGATTTTTTGATTCTTGAGCCCACTTTTTACTATGAGCTTTTTCTTTTTTTTCAAAAGCTAATTTTTCAGCTTCTTCAAGAGTTAGAAATGGACTTTCATCCTCATCAATATCTTCCAAAGGAATTAATTCATTATCTAAAAAACAAAGAAAAAAAAAACAAATACATTTATAGAATATAACATTTAAATAATTCTCAACATTTACTTTTAAGACAGTTTTTAGAATAATGTCCAACATCACCACATTTAAAACATTTTAAAATTGAAGTTCGACCAGTAACTGTATAATCTCCACCTAGTTCCTTCTTTCTATTTTTCCATTGATTTTTCTTATAAGTAGTAGTTTTTACTGATCTTTTCCCACGACTATATATTTTTCTTTTCATATCTAATTTTACAAAGTTTTCACTAGCCTTTCCAGTGGATATTTTTGATTCCAATACCACTTTTTTACGAGTATCTTTAACAGATAATTTAATATTATCATTATCATGAGCTTTTAGAACTTTTGGTTGTTTTAAATGTTCTTCAAAATCATCATCAGAATTATAACGCTTTTTTAAACTTCTTGAAGTATCATTATTTACTACATCAATTTCTTGATTAAAACTATTTTGATTATCATAACTAAATTCTTGGGCTTTAATTCTTTGAGATGAATATAATGGAATATCTTGTGTTTCATTATCACTTTCGTAAACAATGTCAGTATCACTTTCAATATCTTTGGTTGGTTTTGAAATTGGTAGAGCAATATTTGAATTAATTATTTTAGAATTATTTTCATTACATCTTTCCAACCAGCCTTCATCTAATTTTCTACTTACAGTCATCAATTTCGGTAAAGCTTCAAAGCTACTTGATGATGTTTGTAGTAAACTTAATGGCTGTGGTGTATGATTTGAAATATTGGACATTTTAATTGTATTGTTAATTGATACATCAGAATCTGTACCAATAACAGATAAATTAGAATCATCGAGAAATGCACTATCTTCTTGTGTATTGGAATTAATAGATGTGATATTTGTAATACCATCACATACACTATGTACACAATCAAGTTCCATAGTTTTTTTTTTTACAATGCTTTTCCTAGGATTTCTTTTCTTAAAATCACAACCTTCAAATAATTTCTTGGAAAATTTTATCGATATACTATTTTCAATCGGTCTAACTAAAGTTTGTTTATCAGGCTTTGGTTTGTTATTCAAATGTTCTCCCCAAACTGATGAATTGTTTACCTCAACAGACAAATTTTCATTACTTTGTATATTCTCTTGAGCCTGGTCTTTTATATTACTGAGAAATAATTGTTCATCAATTGTCGAATCATCCGTATCTTCTAAGCCTCCTGTCAGTGTTTTTTCAAGCAAAGTAGTCTTCATTTTCCAATACATTTTATATGCATGACGAACTTTTTGTTCAGCTAACTTTATGTCCTCCTAAAATAATAAAATCCGAAACATATAATTTATTTAATATGTATAATTATTCAATAAATTCTATTCATATAAAATTATTTTTTATTACCTTTTTGGGATTGCGATTGTTAGACTTAATAAATCCATTTTCCCATTTCTTAACAATATATTTATACTTTGAATAAGGGTCACTGATCTCCATTTTAAAAATTTTAGTAAAATATCATATAATACAATCAATCAAAGAATTGGTAGTCAGTTAGTACAAATCATAGACATTATATATATTATATTATGTCTATGGTTCAAATATACTATATTTAAGTTTTAAACACATTTGTAGATAACAACGAATTGTGATGAAGGGTTTTAAAAGACTAAAACACAGTATGACCAAATTTCAAATATTGACAACATACCAAATTATCAATCAATTAATTTTATTCTTTTATCATATTTTACGGTTTTTCATTTCTTATCTTTTATATTTTTTTTACGGCAACATTTAAACAATAATACATTTATAACTCACAAAGAATTATTATTATTATTTATCATAATCGGTAATTTGGTCATCAATTTTTGTTGACTATTATATTATACTATAGTCTTTGTATTAGGAAAGTTATAAAGTTATAATATGAAAAGTTCTTAATTATACAATATTACAATTAGATAACAGAAAATAATTAATTAGTAAATACCATTCAGCAAGTAAATGTTGTGATTTTTAGTTTTTGTCTTTTCAGTCGGTTCGTGTGTAAAATTATATTTTAGCACTTAGTTCTAATGGATATAGATCCTGTTGAAGTTCTGCGTCATCTTAATATTTTGGGATATGAGAATATTGAACCACATTTGCTTCAAAAATTCATGAAGGGTAAGTAATAAATACTTAAAAAAATATATATATTGTTATTTTTATAATTTTATAATTTTTTTATATTAAGAGTGATTTTGAATTAATTTTATTAGACAAAGTAAATTATGCATTTGTAGGCGGTAACTTAGAAGTATTATTAATTCCAGATAAAAAGAAGGATGGGGGGGTTGAAATAGTTTGAAGATGTTGAGATTTAAAATTGACCTGGAAATTATTGCAAACCAAATATGAAGATTAAAGTCTAAATATAAATTATTGGATGCATGTAAAAGTGATATGAAGTTAAATTATGTCAACTATTATTTATTTTTATTAAAGACTGTTACAAATTTAAAATTTAATTTTTTTTAAATATACTTGAATTACAGTACAATCTCGGTAATCCGGCCGTTCGATTATCCGATACATCCAGTCATCCGGCTATTTTAACCAATACGTACCAATATTTATTTTTATATAAAATTACTATCGAATTAACTTTATAATGTTAGATAAAACTAAGTAATAACAGATTAAATACGAATAAACCTATTAGATATTTTTTTTTTATTCAGTTAACGTTGGAGTATTGTGCGTGTTATTGTGTATACCGGTTAGATATAGTGTATTACGAATTACATTAAAATGTCGCAACAACGAAAACGAAAACATACTACTTTAACTTTGTAGCTGTTCAAACAATAACTCACTCCACTGCAATAAATTCTTTTACTACGTCCATTATATGGGCAGAAGAGAACGGAGTAGATGCATGTGATATTTTGGTGCTTAAACGACTAAAAGAAAAAGTATTAAAAGTTTCATTTCAAACAAAAAAACAAAAAAATATTAATAATTTTTTTAATTTTGTCTCATAAAAATATTAATTAAATATAACCATGTACGTATTATTTATAGTTTAAAATAATCACAATAAATAAATAATAAATAATAATAATATATATATACACTTATGATAATTATTGATAAATAATAATAATAATTCATTTTTTTATGTGTCAGTAAAAATGTAAAATTCAATAAGTAAAAATGCGTTTTTATATGAACCCTCGTTAATCCGTCAGTAGCGTGGTCTGATATGTGTCAGATTACCGAGATTGTACTGTATGTGGTATTGCTGTTTAATAAATAACAATTATTTAATAATTATATATAGAAATAAATGTAAATATACTTTTAGGGAATCTTTACAGCACGTCGTTATCTCGGTTTACCTTAGGGTAGTGCTTTAAGCCCCATCCTGTTCAATATTTATTTTCTGTCTGTTATGCATTCCCTATTGTCAGATGGCTTTCAATTACATTATTCCATTAATTTCTTCTGTTACCTATCTAGGTCTCATTTTGGATTCCAAACTTCGTTGGAGTCCACATTTTCTAAATTTTCTTTCTTTAACTTCAAAATGAACCAACTTATTCCGATCCTTATTTGGTACTGACTGGGGCGACCATCCTTCCTCTCTCCTTTTAATCTACAAGGCTATTGTTAGAGCAAGTCATGATTATGGCTCTTTTTTTATTCGGTACTGCCTGCAAATCCATCCGCGTTAAACTCAATTCCTACCAAGACATGTGTTTACGTTCGATTCTTTGTGCCCTTCGTTCCGCCCCCTTCTCAGCTTTGGAAGTCGAGCTATGCGTTCCTCCCTTGGATGTGTGTGCTCGTTGTTTAGGCAGTAAATTCATCATTAATAAATTATCCTCCCCCTTTATCCAACTCTGTCTCGGCGTTGTATTTATCAATTTTTCGTGTTTTGCGGTTCTGTACCGAACTAACCCTCCTATTAGCTATTATTACGGATTCCCTTCGCCTATTTTTTCCTTTCATACACGTTTCACCCAGCCGTTTGCCTCTTTATGAGACATCTTTTGGGCTTTATTGTTAAATGTTCCTTCATTTATCTGTCCTGCGTTTCTGGGTTTCCCTATTTCAACTATTCGATCCTTCCCTCCATCCACCGTAAATGTTTTATTTAACGATTTAATTACAACTCATTATCCCAATTATTGCTTAATTTTCACTAGCGGTTCAGTTTCGACTCTTTCCGCTGGTTATTCTTTTTATATTCCTAGCGTTTCTATGAAGTTTTCTAATAATGTTCCCTTATCCACCTCTTCTTTCACAACCGAATGCCTTGCGATAATAGAAGCTCTATATTCTATTAAGTCTTTACCTAATCGTAACTTTATCATTCTTTCCTGTTCTCAAGCTTGTCTCTTGGTTTTAAATTCTTCTCCTTTTCAAACTGCTACTTTTAATTCGCACAATCTTATTCACACTCGTCAGTAATAGCTTTAATATTATTTTTCTATAGGTCCCCGGCCATGCTGGTATCTTAGGCAATGAAATGGCGGATCTTTTCGCCACTTCATGCTCCAATTTCATACCTTCGCTTATTAAAATTCCATACCGGCCTTTCACCAGCTCTTAAAGTCTTTGCATTAATGACTTGGAATAGAAGATGAGTTAACCTACCCCTGACATTTGCCTCATCCTTTCGTCTAGTTTATCCTTCCATTTTATCTTTTCCCTGGTTTCACAATATTCTTATTTCGCGCAAAATCATAGTTTCCTATTCTTGCCTCCGCTTTGGCCACAATCGCCTCCCGACTCACTCCTTTTATTTATCCTTGGATGATTCTTCTTATTGCACCTGTCATGTCTTCTTCTTCTGGTCTGTTAATACGGAACATTAAGGTCCTTTGCCGCTTCCACAATCCTTCTCCACTGATCCCTATCCGTTGCCATGTCGATGTTGAAGGTGTTGTTTATTTTTGACAGGTCTCTCTTCACCGAATCAAACCATCTCTGGCGTTGTCTCTTCAGGGGTCTTTTACCAGTTGGGTTCCCCCCCCCATAACCTTCTGTATGAGGCATCCTTCTGTTCACCACACGTGGCCTGCCCATTCTATTCTCTTACTACGAATGAATTGACATATACTTGGAATGCTAAAAAGTCTTTGTATCTCGTCATTTCTTCTTCTTTCGAATATCCCTGAATTCACATTACACACTGGCCCATATATTTTCTTCAACATTTTCCTCTCAAAAGTTGAGAGTTTTTCTTCATCTCCTTTTGTACTTGCCCATGTTTTACATGCATACGTTGCTATGGGGCGCAAATATGTAATATGTAACCTCTTTTTCGTTCGGCGTGACAGAAGCTTTGTTGAGAACATCTCTTTCATAGCGTAATAGCTTCTATTCGCTGTGCACATTCTAATCTTGATTTCGTTGTGCATATTATTTTTCTCGTTAATATTTACACCCAGATATTTAAACTCTTCCACTTGCTCGAATGAGTTAGTAAATATCCATTTACTTTGATATTAATCTTTGGAGTCCCCTGCCTTGACATAAACATATATTTTGTTTTGGCTTCATTAACTAGTAAGCCCATATTACGACTAGCTATGAATAGTCTCTTTGCCTTTTCTTCAATTTCTTTCTGAGAAATTCCTAGAATGACGATGTCATCCGCATATTATGCACCCGTCAAGTGGACCTAATTTTATGCAACGCCTCTCATCTCTTGTTTAACTGTCCCGGTCTCCATAGCAGGTGTCTTCTTTCTATTATATGTCTTACCAACAAAATTTCTTTTACTCTACCTTATGTTTTCCAATCCATCTTTGATTAAAAGCATTATCAACTTTTTTCTTTCTGAGGGCTTCTTATTGTCACACAAATTTATTATTTATATTTATATAAATATTTAGGCATTTATGTTTGTATGCATTCTATCTTTGTGTATGTAGGTATGTATTTTTTAATTAGGTTTCTTTAATTTAGTTTTAATCTATTTTTCTTTCTTTCTGATTTTTACCTTATTTTAATCATAGAGACCATTGTATTTCTATATAAGTTTCTTAAAAAAAAAAAATTATTTTATACAGCTTGAATTTAAAAATGCATTCACTTAAATAATAACTTAAAAATAATAATAATAATTGTAAGGCTGTACATCACTTAATGATTTGTTCAGTACCATTAGATTGTTTGTAATTTCATGTTTATAAGGTTATAGTTATATTATAAGTAGGTATTTATCATTCTAAATTTAAATTTTATTAATTTACTTAATAATTTAAAATTTTTATATTTGTAATTACAGATTTGAAGAAACTTATTAAATATGAAAAACAAAAAAAACTTGTTGATATGAATAAAAGGGATAACATAGATTTAAATATTAAAGATGAAAATGTATTAAAAGAAAAAAAATGTATTGTTCCTGATACTCATTGTAAAAACAAATGTTGTAATAAAAAAAATAATGATGTATTTGTAAGATTATCACGCCCAAGTTCAAAAATGAAACTTTGTTCTAAAGCTGTTTCAACTATTGGTGTTCAAACTGATTTACAATATAAACATACAAGTAAGATATAGATTATTTAAAATCTTGCTTATGATAAATTATTTAGTTTTATATGGATTTTATTAATAATAGTTAAATTTTATAATAATTTTACTTATCACAATAACTTCATATGTTGATATTTCTCATTCACATTATCACATAAGTTATTAACTAAAGTTAATTAATTGGTTTATACAGAGAACTATAAATGAGATATAACAAACAGATATTATATTTATTACTTAGGGTAGAAAACATTGTACAGGATTTGTTCCAAAAATAATGTGCTGCATTTTTTTTTTTTTTTTGAAAAATGTATTGATATATTTCGTACATTAACAAATTAATAATAAATTTGTTTAATTTAGTTTACATTATAAGTTTATGTTATCTTTTATACTCTTACCTGTTTACAAGTATCATAGGTAATATAGTAACTATAATCTATGACAAATATATACCTACTAAATAATTAAGATGTGATAAAACTATTTAAATATATATAACTTGTGAATGAATGGTTATATAAATATAATGGTTATATAATGGTTAAATAATGTATACAACCAAATGTTAATAATACAATTATTTTATGTATTAATTATTTATATAATTTAAATATATAAATTATATTTATCCACTATAATATCCACCAACTTGTCATTATTTTTGGTACAGTAAAAAAAAAAATATATAGTTGGCAAATAATAAATCAATTTCTAATTTGTTGTTTTAGAAGATGACAGTTATTCACAAGTTTTGAAAAGAAAAAAAATGGATCCTGTTTCTTTACACCAATATTATAAAACAGAGTGGCAAATTAATAAAGTTCCAGGTGAAAAAAACCATGATAAACTTCGGTGGCAAGTTAGGAAAATGATGATGTCTAAATAAATTTAATTTTCATTAATTTTTTAGTACTTAATTAAAATATTTATATTTTTGATGGTAAAATAATGTAGTATTTGTTCATCAATGTTATAATTACGTCAAATTAATATGAGAAATAGTTATTTTTTTTTTCAATATTTAATACTATAATTTTAAGACAATTTTTCTTTATTTATTAATAATTGACAGAAGTAAGATATTATTTATATTACCGTTAACTATTTTGATTGATTTAAATTAGGCAAAAATATTTATTCTAAAATAATAAAAAATGTATACTGATTTGACAATACCTGGTATTAGTATATTATTTAATATAGTATTATCACATATTGTACTTCAGAAGTTTTTAATAGTCTCTCACTATTTTTTTTTTTTTTAACTTAACACAATTTGTATTTTCAAAAAATAAGCAAAAAAAATAAAACATAAATAAATTTCAGGCCACCTAAAAATTGTATGTATTTTATAATTATACAGTTAATGTACAAAATATCAAAAATCAAACATTAAAATAATACATTTGTATAACAAATTATAAGAAACTCATATTTTTAATTATATTCAAGAAAATGTTATTCGTCAACTACATTAATATAAGAGATATTAGATAAATTTGCAAAATAATATAAAATAAATAACAATAGTTTGTAGTAAGAGATATTGAAAATGATACTTATACAATTTAATTATTCATTTAATATAAAGTACAAAATCACCATTCTTCATTTTCATCAAATTTGTTTGACTTCTGTAAACATAAATAAAAAGGTACAATAAAAATGATGATAATCTATTTTTAAGGAATTAACCTTTAAAAATTATTCACGCGCTAATTAAAAATGTATTTTAATATTTGAATGTTATTTTTGATAAAATATAATAGAAAATACAATAATTATTTTTACAATTCTAATATCGGTGCCTCCATACTGATCATCATCAACACTCTTGTCTTTAGCTTCCTGTCCAAGTTTAAGCAACCAGTAAGGTATTTCTTGACTTGCCTAAATTAAAAAGTGTCTGTGAAAAACTTTTCTTAAAATAATCTAAATTATTATAACGAAAATATAAATTTTATACCGAAGAAAGAGTTTTTATGATTGGTTCTACTAAATGATAATCATGTTCAATATCAAAGAAAGATGTGGCAATTCCCGTATTTCCAAGTCTACCAGTACGCCCAATTCTATGAATATATTCTTCAATTTCTTGAGGCATGTCATAATTAATAACATGGTTTACATATTTTATATCTAGAATATAAAATAATTAAGATTATTAAAAAATGAATAAACATTTTATTTAAATACTAACAATTAAAGTTATACAATAAAAGTATAAAATATACAGCATAGTAATTTTAAATTTTAGGCCACCTTTTTACAGAATTTCATAAGAATATAATCTTTACAATAAGAAAAGTTTGTATACATACATTAAATCAAAACAGTAACCTTAATTCAATTTTGTTTATATTATTAGTGTTACTATCATATGTAAAAAAATAAAGTTACTTTTACTGTTATTATTTTTATAGTATAATTTTTTAACTACATTTATTTCAAAGAGAGCTCAAATAACTAAAATTATACATGTATCAAAATTGAATAAATCAAGAATATTAAATCTATTTATCTATATTAGATTATTTCAATAATTTAACTTAGAAATAAAAACAATTATTAATTGGAATTTAAATTTTTTTAAAAAAACACTTACCTAAACCTCTAGAAGCTACGGTTGTTGCTACAAGCACATTTTTTTTCCTGTTACTAAACTCACTTAAAGCTTCTTCTCTATAACTTTGTAAACGATCGCCATGTATACTTGTTGATGGGATATTCTTTTCACATAGGTATGTTGCTAGAAAATCAGCCATCCATTTAGTATTGACAAATATAATTGTACCTTCTGAATCTAGAAAATAATACATTTTATAGTACAATTATTTAGATATTTAACTATTATAAATTATAAAAAAATAGAAACTTTGTTGTAAAATGTTGATCAAGTGTTTTCGCTTTTTAAATTTGTTTACTAGGTAAAAATTTTGTTTAATATCCTTTGAAGCACTGCTAACAATACCAACTGCTAAAAATAGATAATTTCTATTTAAATAAAACTTTGCTAATTCCTGTATAGAATCAGGTAATGTTGCTGATACCATAATTGTCTGTCTGTTCATCTTTAAAAAAAAATACATTTAATTGTTAAATGATTTATATAGCCATCTACAGAGCTTGAAAGATATAGCATTTGCATACTATTTTTTTTTCAAAAGTTTAGAACATCTCAAGATGCAAATTTGTTTTATACTTCTCTTATTATTAATTTTTGTTAATCAGTTTTTCTTACTTATAATTGTTATAGATACTTTGATTTAGAACTAAAAATGTTATTTTAAGGTATATTTCAATGTATAAATATCATTGAATACATTTTAATCAAATTTTATGTTTTGAACTCGTTTATCGCCCCACCATGAATTTTTAAAAATAAGAATTGGAACTACTTGAAATATATAAAAAGAAGCTGTCCTAAATATATTTTTATTGATAATGCCCAATGACTAAGAATGGTCATTTATTGTAAAAATACTACTTGCAAATAACCTTTAATCATTAAAATTCATCTTATAATTTAGAGTTATTATAAAGATAAATAAATAAAATTAGAATTTATACATTATATAGGTAAAATAGTATTTGAGTTATTTTATATTTATTTGATACGGTAGAATATATTTTAGCTACTCCAAATACTAAGCTCATGAAGAACTAACTTATACTTACTATTTTTATAGAAAAAACCTTTTTTTTTTCAAATAAAATGAAAATTTCTTATTAAGCATATTTTTGGCACACATTAAATTTTTAAAGCTATAAATTTCATGTCCTTGTCAATAAGCAACTTACAACAGATGGCATAGATGAATGATCTAAAATTTTATCAACATCAGATTTTGATTCTATTTCCAACATTCGATCTACTTCATCCAAAACAAAAATTCTTACTGATGCAAATGAAATAAGACCATGTTGAACAAACTCATTTAATCTACCCGGTGTAGCAACAAGAATATGACAACCTTTCTAATTAAAAACATTTAAGAATTAAAATATTAATAACAAGTAAATTATATAGTAAAAGTTTAACACAATTTAAATTATTTGTTTTAAAAAGGTAGGTAATTTTACTTACAAGAATTTGATTTTTTTGATGAGAAACCAAAGTACCACCATAACATACTAATGAAGAAATCATAGTACCTCTACTTAATTTCAACACAACACTCTTAATTTGTACAGCTAGTTCTCGAGTAGGAGCCATAATAATCACTTGAGGTTCACAATGATCAATATCTTTTACTATTGGATGGGGTTCCATAAGCAGTTTTTGTAAAATTGGTAAAACAAAAGCTACCTGAAAAAAATTAAAAATTAAATAATTGATCTAATAATAACATGTGAAGAAATGATGTTAATAATTTAAAACTGAAAGAAAGAAAATTTGAAGATTAACATGTAAGTTCTTGGAGGTAAAAATAAATAGTAAGTAATTAAATATATGTGACCATATATTTTAATTTTTTTCATAATTTAGGTAATTAAGTTGAATTAATTCCATAAACTAAATATCATGATGTTATAGATAATTTCAATAAATTTAGACCAATCAAATATCAGATTTTTTTATTTTAAGTTTGTGCTATAAAATATTTTTGATATTAAAAAAATATTACTATAATCTCTTAGAAATAAATCAAATTCATAGAAATAAAATCATGATCAATTTAGAATAAAAATTGTTAAATTATTTTAAAACATAATTAGTTACCGTTTTTCCTGAACCCGTTTGAGCAGCAGCCATTAAATCTTTTCCAGATAAAATTATTGGAATGGTATACTTTTGTATTGGAGTTGGTTTCATAAATTTACATTTTTTAATATTTTCCATTAATATTGCATTACATGTTTCAAAACTTTCAACTATTTTTGGTACATTTTTACCAGACACCTTAACTTCAATATCGTTAAATTTATCAAAATTTATTCCATAATTAATTCCTGTTTCATAAATAGATTCATCATTTTCATCAGGTTCAGGCGGAATATATGTTGATCTTATTGGTTTAACTTCATTATTGTAGATGCATTGATCCATTATTTTTTTAGAAGAATCAATATTTGATGGTAAAAGTTGAATGTTTCCAAAATGATGAGTTTGTTGTATCATTTTAGTTAAATAGCCTCGTCCTCGAACACGGTTATTAGAACACTCATCATTTTGACAGTGTTTGCTAAATATATTCTGAGAACTTTCACTCATCGTCCTTATTGTCAGAATACTAAAAAAATATTTACAATATTGAAATATTTTAAATTAGAATTAAAATATGACAAACCTTAGTTACACATAATGAACTAATAATGAACTAAACAAAAAAAGTAGATTAAATTAATTATTTATTAAAATACATTGAAAAACACATTAGTAAATGTTAGAACAATAAACATCATGAAACTTATTCTATAACCTGTACGTGTTCACTATACATTCATCACTTAATAAAATAAAAAGAGGTATTTTCATTAGATTCTATTTTAGATACCTACCTAATTTCTCTGAAACAAGAACTAAAACAAAATTGCGCTACAAAGTTTCATACATTAGTTAAACCTACGGGTCGTAGTATACGTGCCGTAAAATAAGTGTATCTTCGTGCCCTATGATGGACGCGCGAATTTTAAATTATTGATAACAGTACGAAGGTAAAAATATTCTGTAATCATGAGGTAAACCAGACATTGTGGTTAGTATTATATTCTGTGGTTAATACATAGAGCACGGTTAATAGATCTTTTAAAACCGTGACATAGAGTAATAATTCTCTATGCTCTCAATTCTCGACTTCCTTAATGATAAAGCAGTTTGTAAATTCAATCGAAAAATGCAATACCAACTTAAACAATAGTTGCCCTCGGATTTGGTTACTATAAATATTTACTACCATCATCATAACATAACATTTTATAATTTTTTTTATAAATAAAATATGAAACAAAATTATTAACTATAAAAACGTTAGACATTAAAAATATTAAAATGATTGAAAGTGTATATGTTACCAATAAAATTATAATAAAAGTTGTGTTTACAAATTACATTTAGAAATACCATTTTTTCAAATTTATTACTGTCCAACCTATTCCTCTTCTCAGTTATCGTCTGGCCGGCTTTCGAAAATATTCTTTCATATAGAACAAACGTCGCCAATAAAGATTCAGTTCAGCGAAATGAGTTGGAATTCCCATCCCTAAGATAATGGTCGTTTGCGCGGCACGTGTTCGTAATCAATTAAAAATTACGCACTTGCAACGTTACATCCTAGATTATATGAATATTATATACATATAATCCGTGGTTACATTTATTAAGTGGACCTCACACGATCAGTAATATTGACAGTATTTACATTACTGACAGTGTACTCCTCAAACGGTCAATACAAATTATAGCCAATACTCAGTATTTTTTACTTTCACAGTAGTTTAGATCAATTTTTGATACTGTAACAAACGCTTTTAATTGGTTTTTCCAAATCATTTAAGAATGATAGCTCTTCAAATAACCAAGATGATGGTTGATAGGCGTCGTTTATCCCAGTACCACTTCTTTTTCTGAAGTTGCTTCTAAATGTATTAATTTTTTTACATTTTCAATTGTAGAGTCGTTTTTCAAAAGTTTATAATAAACTATAAGTTTTTTATAGGCAGAATTTTTTTTATCTCTATTGGAGTACTCTTTACAACTAACATCCCAAAATTCGGGTAATTGTTTGTACTCTGAAATAAAATCACGCAAAATGACCCGATCGCGGAATTCGTGACTAGTGGTTTCACTTCCATCATCCATCTCAGAGATGCCAATACTGATGACATGTCAATATCGACCTCACATTATCAATATAATCATCAGTAAATAAATACTGACGACTCGATATCCGATTTTTCCATCAGTCATCAGTATGGGTTTTCCATACTGACAGTACATCAGTACTCACATTACACGATCAATAATACTGTCAGTATCAAAAATATTGTCAGTAATATTGATCGTGTGAAGGCCGTTTTACAGGTTTGCGCGCTCGAGTGTCCCCACCTCAACATGTATGGTATCACATGCTATATGAATATATAGTCAGCCTAATAATAATAAGACAACATAGATTCAATATACATATATATATGACATTAAAAATGAAATTTTTTTTTGTTTTGGGCATTATTTAACACACTATTGAATCCATTAAAATCACATTCACACGTAATATGAGCAAAGTCTGCGAGGTAATACGAACTAAAATTGATTTGTTATTTGACCTAATACTGGTGACGTTCAATAGTCAATAATAAATTAAGATAAGATAAAAACTGAATCGAAAAATAAAGATTAACAATGTGTATGGAAAAACCTGATAAATCTACTTAAATATCAAGAAAATAATTTCTTTTGATTTTATTTTGAATAGGTTAAATTTGTTTAGTAAATCGAACAAATATGCATTAAAAACCAACAAAATGACCCAATAATACTAAAAATGCTCTAAAAATGAAAAAACGTCGAAATGTGCAAAAAAAAAATTTGTAGTTTTGAAGCCCTCGTTATATGAAACGAATTATGTTTTTGGAAAGCATTGTGTATGATCAACCAAAAAATATGCACTTTGCATTGAAATCCGGGCCCTATTTATAAATATGTAGCAAGTATTGTAATTTGAAAAAATATTTTGTTTATGAATGGGCCTCTCCATTTCCCCATATTCTGTCTGTTTAAGTTAAATGTTTAGATCACCAAGATAATTCTTGCACTGAGTGATGAAAGCTAAAACCGGCCCTGGGTGTGATCATGGTCACAATTATTAATAAAATCTATAATCGTGATCATGTTATTGGAAGATACCTTTTAAACTTTGATACGGTTATGATTAATTATTTTAGATTTTTTCTTTTATTTAGGAAAAAGCTTAGATATCTGGGAACATTGCCTACAATTTTACATAGATTTACTTAATAGTAGTCTACATTAGATTTGTATCTTTAGCGGTGTTGTACAAATTATAAATGGCATCAAAATTAGCTTCGTTTCGAAGTGTTTCCTTCATCAATGGCATCATTTCACTTTTTTCTAGGGTAGGGAAGTGGATATGCACTTAATAAATTGCAGAACGGGTGATTCTTAATTAATTATAATTTAAGTATTTTCAATAACAATGGAGAGGATTCAGGTCATCATCAATGAGGCGATGAGGTGAGTGGAAGGCTGGATGACGGCACACGGTCCGAGCCTGGCGCCCCAGAAGACCGAGGCCACAGTTCTTACGAAGTAAAAGGTCTACCGCGATCCGATTCTATCTCTAAACGGCCACGTCATCCCGGTGTGCAGGACGGTTTGAAACCTCGGCATCGAATTCGACACCCGCCTGTCCTTTACTGCGTACGTCGCGAGTGTGTCGGCCAGGGCTACACAGTCCACCCTCGCCATAGGGCAGCTTATGCCTAACATCGGAGCCACTCAACATTTAAGAAAATGCTGCTGGGAACGATAGTGAGCAGCAAGCTGCTATACGCTTCATCATCGTGGGAAGAGGTGGCCACCCATACGGGAAAGAACAGAGAAGCAATTAAAAAATTAAAAAATCATAAAAGCTATTAAATTATATATATTTTACTAATTATTTGATTTAAATGTAGAAAATATATTATTATTTATACAATCATACAAACATGCAAAAAATTTGCTACATGTCAAATGTAGTAAAGTTTAAAATATTTGGTAAACCTTTATTGTTAATTTTATAAGAATATGTCATGATTCTCCTTGCTATAAATATTCTACTTAAATGATCCTGAAACAAATATATTTTAGTAAAATATATTATTTTGTTTTTATATAATTTAAGAAAAATTTCTCTAAAATAAATATTGATAAAAAGTAATTTCTACCTCTATATTTCCATGTATAATAAGTAAATCATATTTTTTTTTAAGATTATCAATATTTTCATAAGAAATTCCCATTTCTTTTAACTTTAAATCATTTTTTGGATTGACTAAAATAGTTCTGCCACATAATAATGCTGGTTCAAGAGCTACCAAATTCATCTCTACCTACAAAAATAACCAATTATGAACATTACTGATTAGAATATGTTGTAGACATTAATATACATCAACTAAACAATCATTTTTTCTTATGTCCAATAATATTATTACAAGATCAGCATATATATTAGACAATGTGGACAATGCTGATTTGACACTTATTGCCTTGTGTACTTGAATTGGAGAAACATGATTGTTTTCATTATACTCGATTAATGAATCTGACAACTGTGTACTCCAAGTAGTGTTCCCAATCAACTAGTTGAACAAAGATAATTTAAATTATTATATTATATAGCAGTGTTTGAAAGAAATGCACAACTTATTCTTAAACGAACACAGATAGTGTTAATTTGAATTAACCTACTTTTTTGGAACTTGTGTTCATTTTCATCATAAATAACATTCATTACACTAGTAATATATAGCGGCTAAAATAGGGCATATTCTAATCTTATTTTTTGATTTTCTGTTATATTGAATAACTAGGTTATATGATTAAAACTTAATCTTATTATTGCAATGTAAATAAATTAACATAACACACTTAAAAATATTTTAATTAATAAATATTTTATATATTCTACCGTAATGTCTGCATTTAATAAAATTACAATCCAGTATTGATCTATATTAATCATAAAGTATAATAAAATATAAGTTATATTAATAGATGGTTTATAAACAAGAGCAAATAGGTTGAGTCGAAATAATATTCTTTACCCCACCTAAAATATAAGTATTGTAAGATTTTTTTTTTAAAAAGATTCAGTTAGTCAAAATTAAATAAAAACTAAATACAACTATAACATACAATTACCAGTTTTGTTTTATTTTAGTAATCAACCATTAATCATACGAATTCAAATCACAAATAACTAAAAATTATATTGTTAACATAGTTAACGTAAACACAATCAATATTAGCATACTTATAGAACACCAAAAGAATATTTAAATCTTACAAGAATGGAAAATGGTTGTTTGGTTGATGATTTTGCATTGCATTTGAATACTTTTGGTTCATCTGACCAATTCGAAGAAGTGGCCGCTGACATGATAATTCAATTTCAATAAAATTCCTACGTTACAAATTATACAAATAAACGAGTAATTTAATTTTTTCAACGGCCAAATTGAATACTGATAAATAATAAACTGTAATCACAAATTCACAAATAAACATTTGGAGGCAAACTCATTGATAGGCTACAGCACGATCACGCATACTAGAGTCACGGTATGCATTGGATTACTTTTGGTTCAATGGTTATTTTTTTCCATTCGACAACCATATTATGTAAATTTTCTACACATTGAAATATTTATTAATATAGTTGTGCAATTTTGGAATCTAAATTTCCAAATTTCTAGGACTCTATGGTAGGCTCTGGTAGAAAAACAGAGTGATGTATTAAAACACAGGATTTAAATAATTTACATGTGGTGACCCTGTGGTAGTGTTGTAGGCGTGTTTGTTTTATCAGTTGTCATCATGGATTATTAGTGCGGTATTGCTGAGTGGAAATAATATCTAATTTTATTTACCGATTTCTTTAGCTGTGACTTCTAGTGTTGTGGCGCGACTAGTATTATATGGAATTATGGAAATTGGATTTGTGCTTTGACATCTGATATGCGGTTTCCATTAACCTAACGTTATTCTCTTAGGTAATGATAGTTATTGATATAATCTTTAATTCTTATAATATTAGCATTAATAAACAAAATAAAAAATAACATTTTGCTTATAATAATTTTTTCCTCCTAACCATGAACAATATCCTGGTTTATACAAATTACTCTATGGTTTATCTTAGGTTTATTATTTTATTATATCTTTCAAATAATTGTTTTACCACTTGTTTGCAGTTAAGTGAATCACTTGTTTTTTGGAAGTTGGCATTTATCGATCAAAATGGCAACAATTTATCCTGATAATGATGAAATAAAATTTCGTTATGAAAATTATAGAAGTAAATATAATTCAAATAAACTTAAACTTAAATAAATTGCATTTCATAACTATCTTAAAAGTAATGGTTTTTTACTTATTTTAAATTTATCTGTCTATAATTATTTTCTAATTATAATTTTAGATATTTTATTATTAATTCAATAACTTATATGTTTAGATATAGAAGACTTATTGAATGATAAAGTTGAATGTACAATTTGCAACAATGATTTATTAAATGAAATTATATCAAAAAAGATGATAATGGTTCATAAATCTCATTTATTTCTGTGTTGCTATGTAAGTTTTATTTAAAAAGTTGTTTATTATGTAGATAATTATGTAAATGTGTTGTTACTACTGAGTATATTTCTAAAAAAAAAATCAATCTTAAAAAATCATGCATTACTTATCCTGAATAAAAAATTCAAATTACTAAAATTGTGAGAAATTTGTTTTTGATAAAATTAGTATTTATTTTAGTTTTAATGTTTTATTTAATTATTTAAATTTATTAAATAAATCTAAATAATTTAAGCTTTAAATATATTGTATATTTTAATGATTAACAAAAAAATAGTGAAAAAAGTAATATACAAATACCAAAGTTTTTTTTAGTAATTATATAAATATATTAAAATCTGCAGTTTTCAAACAGTAAAAACTGGGACTTAAACTGACCAGTTTTATAGAAAAATTCACATAACCAAAATAAATACTATAAATGTATCATTGTTTAATCCTCAGACTATCTTGAAGATATTTAATCATGTTATGTTAGAGCAATTGATATTTGTTGTAAAAATTAATATTAGGTCAATAAAAATCCAAAATCTTTAAATATATTTATATTAATTGTTATTAATTTATACTATATTATTTTACATGTAACTCTATTGGTAATTATTAAATTCAACATATTAAATATAATAAAGTATAACCTAGTTAACTAAAAAGTGAAAAAAATTTATCCAACTTGAATTCTATAACTTTTGATCCTTAAAAATTAAATTTTCAAAAATTTCCTTCTTGCATATCTTGAGTAATAAAATGTATTAAATATTTACGAATAATAAATTAGTTAACAAAAAAAACTTGATTCTGAAGTGTTATATTATTAAATATGATAGCCTTTCTGATCAAGTTTCCTATAATTTTTTTATTCTTGTTCATATTTATTTATTATGTTGAAAATAAATGTTGATGGTAAATTTATTTTAAAACAAACAAAATAATTATAAATTATATTATATTATATAAAATTTTACTTTATATTTCTAGAACTGTTTCTATAAACTATTTGAAGGTCAAGAATATAGTTGTATTTCATGTAAATCTAATTATGAATTATCTAATTGTGAAAAATGCAACCTCAATGTTTGTAAAGTAATTTTCATTTTATTTTAATCTAAGTTGAAATTATTTAGCTTATTTAATATTAAAAATTATCTACTTTATATATGTAGCGCTGTGTTGAAAATCACAAGATAGTTCAAGTATCAAGTGGTGTCATAAGTAAATGCTTTAATTGTGAACCACAGGCTTTATGGAAGCAAAGAGCTCAAGCTGCTAATGTGTTAAAAATATTTTTTTCTCAGTTGTAAGTGAATAAATTTTTCTCTGCAATTACGAACATGAAAATATATTTTATTTTTATAAAGTGCCTTAAAAATATTTTCAACTTTCAATTTAAAGTTGTTTATTTATGTTTTTTTTTTTTTATTTTTTTTATACTCAATTATTTTTTCTGATGTAGTTGAAAAATTGTAAAATAATAATACTTTATTTTTTCAGAGATTTGCCAAATGGCTTATTAGTTAATGAAATAGAACGTGAACAAAACGTTAGAAAATATTTAGTAAATGAAGCTAAAATTGGTCAAAATTCTATAACAGAGAAAGTTAGAAATCATTTATGTCTTGATTTTATATTAAAATCATACAAATGTATTCTAACTGAAAAACTCTCTGATTTTTTTCCAAAAACAAATTATATTCCATTTGATAAGTGTTTAAGTGAATTTATTGAGAATTGTGAATATATTTTAGAAAAAACATGTTCTACTTTGACAAATTTTAAGAAAATATTTAATTTAAGTTCAAGTTTAAACCCAGGTGTGACTGCTATGATAAAAGCATTATTGAAATCTGTTGATGAAGATAGTTGTATATTTTCTAATTCAAGGCACAATATAGGAGATGAAAGTAAAGTTATGAATAATAATAAGATTAATGAAAAGTCCACCATCTGTAAAACAAGGTCTGCATCAAAAATTAAACAAAACAAAATACAAAGTATTTTAAATTCTACAGTATGTACAATGAATAATGAAACAATATTTCATTTGGAACCAACTGTTCTTTTAGAACGAATTGATGATTCTATTTTATTAAAAAAAAGGAATAACAATTCAACTAAAAATGTACTTCCTAATACAGAAGAAGATGAAACTGTTCATCCTTTAGATTTATTTGATGATCTTAGTAGTATTAGTAGTGATGCTGGATATTCAAGAACATTAAGAAATCGTAAAGTTTTAACTAAAAAAAAGGTAATAAATAATTAAAATCATTATATATTTCCCTATTTGTTACAGTACTCAATGTTTTTTTATTTGTGATTTTTAATTTAATTTTTTTTTTTTTTTTTAATCTGTTATTATTTAGAAAATAAATAATATGACAAAAAGTAAACCATTAATAGATGAAAAATCCGATGATGAAAAAGAAAATGACAGGTCTAATATTTTTTAAAAATATAACTTCAATACATTTTGTTAAAGACTAATCATATGTTTAATTTAGACTGACTAATTTCAATACAATTAATCGTGGCTTTAAAAACAAAAATGAAACTGAAGTTAATCTCATTGATATAAATAATAGTTCTATAACCATTACAAATAAAAGTTCAAATCATATAGAAAATAAAATGGAAGCAATGCAACAAGCTATTAATAATATTGATGACGACTCTGGTAATTAATATTAATACATTTAATTGATTATTAAACTTTTTTATTATTAAGTAGCATATTCAACTTTTTTAATTAAAAATTTAATTCATATTTTGTATATTTAGACTTGCTTGATTATTAATTGTTATAATTAATTAGTCATGTACAGTTTTTGTTAAAAATTAAATTATTTGAAGTTAAAATAAGTAATACATTTTATATAAACTATTTTTAGAAATAAAATTATATTTATTCTATTACAAATGCATACTCAAAACATTATAAAATATTATAAATAGTACATATAATTAATTTTTTTAATTGTAATATAACGGTTGAAGTAGAATCTACTCAATTAAAGTTAATCTTGTTTTCATTTTTATAAAAAAAAATGTGAACTAACTAATAATGCTATTCTTAGTCAACTATATGTACATATTTTTATTTTTTATATTATGAACTGCATTGATAGACTAAGTGATTTAATCATAGTAGTTAAATTATGAAAAAAATATTTGGCATTGAGAACACAATTACATAGGAACAAATATGCCCTATGTTTTATATATGTATTACATTGTCTTATACCTACATATCAGAAGTATAAATTTATAAATTATTATGAAAAAAATGTTTATTAATATATTATGAATTTAATATTCTTGATTGTTGTACAAGCCTTCGACAAGGTTTGGCATCCCGATCTTTTTAAACTAAAATTGTTCCTACCCCTCTCATATTACCTTATTTTTAAATCATACCTCAACAAACGGCACGTTTTTGTTAGCTTAGGAATCGAATACTTCAGCATATTCCCATTATTAGCCGGTGTTCCTCAAGGCGCAGTCGTATCTCCAACTCTTTGTAATCTATACTTTACAGACCAACCCATCAATCTGAATACTCAAATAGCTGTATATACCGACAAAAAAGCAATATATGCCACCTACACCAATCCTGACATAGTTTTATCTACTCTCCAAAGCCATCTGAATGACCTATCACACTGGTACTCCCCTGGCGCGTCAGAATTAATAAAAACAAATCTGTTTACACCACCTTTGCACTCCAACACAAAAAACCTCCTCCGGTACATATAAACAGCAAACCAATACCAAACTGACACACCTAAATATCTAGGTCTAACCTTCGACAAACGTCTAACATGGGCTAAACACATTCACACAATGAAATTAAAATTAAATCAACGACTTTACTCTCTCAGACCTATTCTTGGTAAATTCTTAAAATTATCCTTCAAAACTAAAATTCACATCTATAATCTTCTTAAGCCTATGGCTTTATGGTATCCCACTCTGGGTCATAGCAAAAATATCAATTACACAAAAAATACAAGTGTTCCAATCAAAAATCCTCCGACTCATAATCAATGCTCCTCCGTATATTTCAAATCTCACACTTCATACAAATCTTCATATTTCTAAAGTCACTGATACGGCCAAGCTATACTACTCAAAATGTAGGAATCACCTTCAAAATCACCCTAATTCCCATATTAAAAAGCTACTATCTATCTCCATCCCAGGAAATCCTCCCAAAAGACTCAAACGATAATGGCCACGTGACCTTATAAAGTAAACATAATATAAATACTTAAATACCTAAATAATTGTAAATTTACATCAAAGTACTTTCACTGGACAGTTTCTTCCCATAAGACACTCAAATTATTGCACTTTATTTAAAAAATATATTATGCTTATTGTACTTTTTTTTGTATAGATTGTATAAATTCTTGATTAAAATTAAAAAAAATAATAATCTTTATAAGCATGATGTCTGAATAAATAGTGGATTTTTTTGTTTTTATCTTCAATATTTTTTATAAACCTAAGAGCACCACTCTGGACCTATGAACTATCTACATTATACATAGACAGTGTAACATTACATTTATTTACATTAACACTAAAATTGTATTTTTCAAAAAAATAATTTTAAAATCAATTTGAATATTACTATTTATTATTTGTTGTAAATTTGATGAGTATTTTCTATTACTACAAATAAGGGTAAAAGGGATTCAGAAAATCATTTTACCCACAGTTAATATTTGTTGATGAAATTGGCCTTTAGAGGACTTCTCATATGTTTTGAATGTGCTGATTATTGGCTGAAGTTAATACCATACTAGGCCAAATGCCATATTTGCTACACCCCTAAATTACGACTGATAAATTACCACTGGTTTAATTGTATAGTACAGTATAACATTTGTATGCCGGACCCCATATAACACTTCCATAAAATACATTAAATGTTAAATTTTTTAATGATTATAGGCTTAAAAACACAAAATATGTAATTATATCATCATGTGTTTTTTTTATAACAAGATACACATTTATAATCCAGTTTTAGCTCTTATAAGTAGTCTTTTAAAATAACCTGACCCACAGTTCTCCAACTGTAGATCCACTCCTGAGTACTAACATATATTTTAGAAATTTTTTAAAGTGAATACATTTCTTTTAGATGCTGATAATTATAATGAAAATTATGATAACTCACAAAAATCATTGAATGATAATTTGTTAGTCGAAAATTCTCTGTTAATACCTCAAAATTACTCAAATGTCAACAGCAGTGAAAGTGGTAATTATATTATTTTTATAAAATATGTTTAATTAGTTAAAACTATTAAGGCTTTTATATTTTTTTTTCATTAAAATATATTCTATACCAATCTACAGATTGAATACCAAAAAGAAATTTAAAAAAAAAATTTCAGTTGCAGATACATTTTTTTTCAAATGATATTTTATTTTAAAAAATCTAAAAATTGTTATTATTTTTTAAATATTGAAAAAATAAAGTAAAAATTTTACATTTTATTTTGTGAATTTATTATTTATTTTTTTTCGCTTGATAATTATTAAGACTTAAAATGTTGATTGGACTTTAATATGTATATTTTTTTAAAGTACTAAACGGAGTTGAACTAAAAATATTTTCAGCTCTTGTATATCTATTTTTGTTTCAAATCATCATTAAACCAGTATTAATTTTTAATTTTATTGTTTCTGTTTCAGATGATAGTTCAATAAATGATGTGATAAATTCATGTTTAATTGGTTGTAGAAAACAAAACATTGATCATTATCGTAAGAAAAGTCAAGAAAACCAATTAGAAATAAATGGTGGACCTGATGAATTACAAAATGAAGAAAATATGGTATTTTTCATTAATATTTTTAAAAAAAATAATTATTATAATAATAATTTTTTTCTAAATAATATAATTAAATTTATTTATTATCATATGAGTTCAGGAAAATTTAAAAATATGTGTAAAAGAAAAAAAAATCAATTTTTTTTTCAATCCATAGATTAGTTGAATGATGAAATACTCTTCCATTCTTCTCTATTCCATGCGAATCTTCAATTTTTTTTATAACTTTTTCTATATCTAATATAATTTGTTTTATATATGACTGCCTAAGTCTTCTTTTCTAGTTAAAAGGTTTTCTAGTTATATTTTCTTATTATAAGGGTTTCCCTTTTAGTTTTTCATTAAATATAGTAGTTATCTAGTCATATATTTTTTATATGATGTCCTATCCACTTCTTTCTTCTCTCCACGATTGTTGTCCATATTGATCTTGTTTCATTTATTTTCTGATACACTTCTTCATTAGTTACTCGTTCAGTTTAAGACATTTTTAAGACCTTCGCCAACAAAAATAAAAAAATTCAGTAAAAAATATTAATTGTATAAACAATTTTCAAAATTTCATTTTTTCCATTGGATATTACTTCAATAGTCTTATTTTCTTAAAATTACCAATTTACTTTTTTTGTTAGTTTTTAGTACAATTTTCAATGAAAAACAAAACAAGTATACAAATAATTAATTTTATTATTTAAAATATGCAGTGTATAAATGCTAATTAAGAATATTCAATATCTTTGAGTAGAGACCTGCATTTTGAATTCTGTTTTTTAGATGGTTTTTATTACATAAAAATACACATTTTCATGATTGAATTTTTTTTACTAAATTAGACAGACGCATGCACAGTATAACTTTTTTTTTTTTAAATAACCACTAATTATTTTTCACTTAGTTTTTTAATGAATTATTTTCAGAATTACAGTATAAATACTGAAAATCCCATGCATTTTACCATTGTTTTTTTAAATTGCTATAACATGGTAAATTTTGGACTTATACGAAGCAACTAAAATTTTTAAAAAAATTAGGTGAAAAATAATTAGTGGTTAAAATAGGTGGTTTTTATTTAAGAAAAAAACGTTTTACTGTGTAAGCCTGTATAGTTAAGTTAAAAAAATTTGAATATCATATAAATGTAATTAATATGTAATTAATAACACATACTGTATTTATTATTAGAAAAATAAATAGTTTATAATACTAATGTGTATTTTATTATATTAGCTTTGACATTATATCTATACCGTTAATGTTAATATTAATATTCCATTGTTAATAAAAATTCAGTAATATCTTTTTTTTTTTTTTTGAAATAGTAATTTTTATTATAAAATAAGAGAAAAAAATATTTTTATCACAATTGTTATTTTATGTTAACTAACTTATTTAAATCATAATTTGTAGGAATTTTCAGAACTTTCAGATAAAAATGATGAGATGGTAACTGCAAATCGTTCAAATAATATTTCTCCATTTAAAATGCCATCTTTAAGTGATAACAGTGACAATAGTGACTTTGATTTGAAAGTTAAAAAAAACACGGGCAGTAAAAAAAGGTAATTTTCTCTTATAGTTTAATTTTATTATAGTGTTTAATAATTTAATCAATATTGACAGAATACAAAAATAATTAAAAATACTATTATTATTTTTTGCACTTGACATAATTATTATTTAATAATACTTTTAAATTGTATTCTCATACATTTAATATTATAATATTATAAAATATATTTATTTTATTATAATAATAAGATTATGATTTTTGAAGTTTTGAACTTCTTTATGATTTATTTATATATATTTTAATAAAATTTGCATTTAAACTATTAAGTGTTAATTATAAAGTAGCGCAACAAAATAAACAATAGTACCATATGATCAAGTTAAAATTATTGTAGAGATAAATAATAATAAACTTTGAATAATTACTAGGTTTAAAAAGAAATGTACTAATTATGGGTGACATTTTTATAAGTCAATATATTTTAAATAACCTTACTTTATCTCAGTCATTTATTGCATTTTAGCTGCAGTTCATAATTTCGTCATCTAGTATCTTATGGGTTTTATAAGATTAAACCATTTAACTATCAAAATTTTCTTTCTGTTTTTTATAAATATAAAAATATATTGCAATACAGCCATCCACAATATTGGAATAGCATATAATATACAAAATTATTTTTAAATTTGAGTTTTTTGACAATGGTTAAATAATAATTGAATTAATTACTTACATACTATGTAAGACATTTATTAAAAAATGTAAATACATTTTAAAATATTATTTACATAAAAAAATTACTATTAAGAAATGTATAATGAAATTATTCTAATTGTTATTATTACATTTCTTATTTTATATTGAGTATTATATATGAAAAAAAAATTTATTTATTAAGTTTTTATTAAATCTTAAACTATGCACAAAATAATTTTCTTTTCTTAAACTAGAGTAAAATACTATTAAATATTTTATTTCTTATTATCTACACAGTATATATATATATATATATATATATATATTTGTATTATTTATTGTTATAATGACTAACAGGAAGCTGACCACATCTAGTTCATCCAATGACTCAGATTCATCATCAAAATATTTTAAAAAAACACCAAAAAAACTTACTAAAAGTAAAAATAATTGTGTTGATTTTGCTTATAATAGTAGTAATGACAGTAACAGTGATAGTGATGAAGAAGATTCACCTGTCATCATTAAAAAGCATAAAAGAATGTGAGTTGTGAAAACAATTTGAACTTTATTGTTAACTTGAATTTTACAATTCTACTTTTATTTAGCAGTAGGAAAGTATATGATGAATCTAGTGAAGAAAATGACGAGGAAAATGGTAAAAATATTACTACTGTAAGTATTATAACCAATAAGTATATTATGAATTTATAAATAAATTTTTTTTCTCTATAAATATCATTGGAGCTTTAAATTTGTCTCTGATAATTTACTAATAATTAATAGTATAATTTATGTAAAGACTTAATTTAATTTGAGTTAATTATAATTATGTAAGATATTTTATTTTTAAATAACTCATAATTACATTTTTAAGAATAACTATTATCAGGGCTTAAAAATGCATTAATAAGTATGCAATAATGCACTAACATTTGATAAAATATGCAATTTATATGTATTAAAAATCTTAAACTATGCTCGAAAAAAATTATATATAAAAATTTTTATATTAATTAGAATTTTCCATTCATATTTTTTAAACTTATATTTTATTTTTTCAATCACATTTTATTAAAATTATAATTAATGAACACACGTTGCAACGAAATTAAATTGATTGATTGCAATGCACATGTCAATAGGAGGAAGGTAATATACAATAAAATTTTTCGTGGTAAAGCTTTTAACTTATAATACCTAATGTCATACAAAAATAAAAAATATTGATAAGATACTAAGATTTTGTAAGCATATTCGGAAAAGTAAATGAAAATGAATTTAAACATTTATTGGTCTTATTTTTTTTTTTTTTTTTAATTTGTAAAATGATTTCGCTGAATTTACATAAAATAATATGTGCTTATAACTTTAAAAAAATCAGCTATATGCCAATATACACGAAACGTTTAAAAACATGCTCTATTAAACTTAAGATTTTTATTACTATTGTAATAAAACAGATTTGTATCTCACTTAGAATGTTTTCTGATGTTAAAAAAAAAAATATATATGTAAATATATGAAATTACAAGCCCTGATTATGATTGTTTTTCTATATATTTTAAAAAAAATGTATTACAAAATAAAAAAAAGAATTTAATCATATTGTCTTTAAATTTATTATCCTTTAAATTAAATTTTTTTGATTCCCTAACTCTTATTTTATTATAAAATAGTCTGAATTTAAGGATCTACAATAATATTAATATAATATCAATAATTTCAACACTGATATTTAATAGAAATATAATAATTTCAATATCTTCACAGCTTTAGATTTATAGATCATAAACATTATCATAGCAAACCATGAGACCTAACCTAATATTTAAGATCCATGAGAAAATCTCTTTGACATTTAGTTTATAATCAACAAAAAACACCCAATAACTAACATTAGGGGATTAGTGTATTTAAGTTTCTGTGTGAATAAAAATTGAAAATAATTACAATTTCCATATTATTTTATTCAGATTTATGACTGATTACTTAAATTTAATTGGTGTGATTTAAATTTGTTGGTTTTTGTGTTTCATTAAAGATTTTCTATTAAAATTTTTTATTAAATCCAGTCCATGTATATAATACTATATAATTGGTACATAAAATAATAATATTGTTAACTACATTTCACATGGCTTATAATGAATAATAAGAGTTATAATGAAAATAATTTTTTTTTTTTTTTAAGTCAATAAATAGTTTTATTTTTGTTTGTTAATTCATGTACTGGTATATTTCTATTTATGTATGTATGTATACATGCTATGTTTTGTGTGGGTACTTACAAAGCCCTAAACTTATGTCTCCTTCTAGAAATCAATGCATCAATAATAAAAAAAATATTTTTGAAGATTCTCTAATTCCAATGTTAATGACATTTGTATTAAACTTAACTTTAGACAATAAATATAATATGCAAATAATCATATATATTTTATTAATAAAATATTATATAAGATTTTGAAATTTATACATTTAGACACCCACTAAAGGACGAAAGAATATACGTAAAATGAAAAATGAAGATGAACTGAGTGAATTAACTAAAGATGCTTTACAAGAAGAAAAATCACGAAAAATGCGTCTAGAAAAACGTCAACAACTTGTATTCATGTTATATTTTTTAACTTTTTCTTATTTCTTTTAATTTTTTTTAAATATTTTAGTATAATCAAATATTTGATCCTCCAACACCAATTGAATCTTGTAAAAAATTGGTGTTAGATTTTGATTCTGAAACAAAAAAAGAACTCGTAACAGTTCATCCAGATCTTGTAAAATTTCTTAAACCACATCAGGTAAAACAATAACTGATCACTCTAATTTAGTTATTATTAAACATTAAGTTTTTAATTAGTACTTATACCTCAAAATAATTTCTAATCTTACATAAACTCTTAGTAAATTGTTTTTAAATTATATTATGCAAAAAAAAATTTAGGTTGCGGGTGTGAAATTTTTATGGGATTCGGTGTTTGAATCGCTGGATTTCACAAAAAAAAAGAAAAAAGGAAGTGGAGCAATTTTAGCTCATTGTATGGGCCTAGGTAAAACGCTTCAAGTATGTATAGTACTTTAAACTTTTCATACTTAGCTTATATATGCTTATATGCGATTCTTATTATTTCAAACCATTATATAATATATTATGTGTTATATAAGTATGGGTAACAGTTCAATATGCGACCTAAAGATAAGATTGTGTTGATCTACAACAGGGGTCGGCAACTGACGGACCGCGGTCCGGATCTGGACCGTGGAAGGCAATGCTCTTAATCTTTTCAACTTTTATTTTCATACTTCTAATATTGTAATTTTTAATATAAATTAATTGTAGTAACCAAATAATTATTTTTATTTTTATACTACTATTTTTAAAATATAAAAATTTGAAAAAGATTTTTTTCACTGGACTCCATTGATTTATTATTTTAAACTTAAGGCTCCAATGTAAATTACTTGCCGATCCTTGTTCTACAGATTTCTTTATCGCGATTATTGTCATTGTGGGTATTTTATTATATTTTATTTCTGTTCTCCAAAACAATAACTAATACTTGCCTTCATTATCCTCAGTCAGTATAATTCCGTTTTAATTTGTGTGCACTTGTTTTGTGTTTTAACTCCTCATGACATCTACTGTTTGTCACTTATTTAGGCACATTATTAGAGATGAAGTGACATATGTTCAATATTTAAAAGACTGAGGGTTATTACTAGCCGATAATCCAATGACATGTATAAAGGTGAAAGAGGGTTTTGTATGTAATGGCTAACTTGTGGAATATTTAAAAAATAATAAAAACGAAATTTTGATGGCACTATGAGAAAATTTTGTAACATTATAATCAGAGCTCGTAAGTACATGCATTTGCATATCAATCTTGCAAAGTTGTATTTAATGCTAGATGACACAGAAATCCATTTCAAGGTACCACGGTTAAATATGTGAAATCTTATTTTGCATATTTTTGCATATTTGGCATGTTTTTGTTTATTTGACATATTTATGCACATTTCTATTTTATCGGGTATATTATACAACATTCTATTAGAATCTATCAAAAATCTAAATGGAAAATATATAAAATTAAAAATAGAAATTGTACTATCTTTTCTTTTTTTTATATTCTTGATACTCGGACATTTAATGAATAAATTTGTTCCAAAAGTTTCAGATTTAAAATTAATTACTGACAAAGACGTACATTATACATAGTTCATGAAGGCTCAAGAATAGTTTTAAATAGTATTTAAAATCTATTTTTTTTTTAATTATGAGATAAAAAAATAAAATATAGCTATAAAAAATTGAATAGATAATTTATGTAATTTCAAAAATTATTTATGATATATTTAAGTAAGCATTTTTTAAGTGCATAATTTTAGATATTTAGTACATATAAATGAATATTTTTAACTATTTAAGGCATATTTCATAGCATATTTTGCCAATTTTAAGTGCATAAATGCATGCTTATTCAGGCATTTTTTAGGGCATGAACTTACGAACCCTGATTATAATATATAAAACAGAATTGCCACACTTACCAATCGATTTGTAAAGATTATTAGAACAGCAATTTTTTTATTAAAGGAAAACTCTTTAATAAATTATTAAAAATGAAATAAAAACTGGAATGACAATTTATAGTGACCAATGGAGAGTGTACTCAATATTAAATCATCATGTATATATTTATCAAACAGTTAAGATCATACATTGGACCGTTACCTAAGTATGAACTATCCTTACTACTTATTGGATATAAAATTAAAAATAATCAAGCTTGTGAAAGTATAATACTTATTTAAATTATTGTATTTTAATTTAACCAAATTAAAGACTAACTTAAGACCTTTTTGCATAATAATTCACTGTGATATATTTTTAATTCCTTTTTCAGATTATAACATTAGTTCATACATTATTTAGATACCCAGAAATAGGCATTAAAACCGTTTTAATTATTACTCCTCATTCAACTATTGAAAATTGGTGTAAGGAATTTCAAAAATGGTTAAAAGACATTCCAGAAGAAAAAAATTTTCTTGTATTCAACCTTTCTGAGTAAGAATACTATTTCAAGTATAAAGACTTTTTTTTTATATACATATTTAATTGTATCTATTACTAAATAATTGAATTTAAGATCAAAAACGTATGAAAGTCGTAACAATTTAGTACAAGAGTGGCAAAGAGAAAGTGGAGTATTAGTTACAAGTTACCAATCATATAGAACAATTGTTAAATTTAAGGGAATTGATAAATTCCCTACCCTATTAGAAACTCTTGTTGATCCAGGACCAAATTTAATAATTTGTGATGAAGGACATTTATTAAAAAATCACAATTCTGCTATATCAAAAGCAGTAAATCGCATTAAAACACTTCGAAGAATTGTGTTGACAGGAACACCACTACAAAATAATTTGAAAGAATGTACGTATTACTTAGTATCTTATTTCTATATATTGTAATTTAAATGTTGTGTGTGAACCCAAATTAAGTTTTATTCTTTAATACTATTGTATATAATATGAACAAACCTTTTTTAACTTTTACTAATCGTTTTTTGTAGAAAAAATTTAATTTTAAGAGATGAATACAATGTCAATAATTATAATATATAAAATATAACCAAAGATAATATACATTAATGTTTACATGGTTAGTTAAAGCATTAATATAACCTGTGATTGTAATCAATACTATAATCCTACAACTAAGAACTATTTATTAATAATTATTTAATATATATTTATTACTATATTTATTTGTAATTAATTTATTTTCTCATTTTATACAGATCATTGTATGGTAGATTTTATTCGTCCAAACTTATTGGGTTCATTAAAAGACTTTACTAACCGTTTTATTAATCCTATCACTAATGGTCAATACTCTGATTCAACTCCATTAGATGTTAAATTAATGAAGAGAAGATCACATGTACTGCATAGAATGCTTGAAGGATTTGTTCAAGTAATTTTTATATTAATATTTTCTTCTTTTTTAGTGCAAAATCTCTATATAAATTATATTTTGTTTGTTGGAAAACAAGTGCATTCATATTTTATATATTTTTAATCATGCATTCTATATTACAGTAAATAAATATACATATTTTTAAAATTATTAGGTAATATATGTTTTAGTGTATAATAATATTAATTTTATGGATACTTTAAACAAATAAGTTTTTTGTTGTACTTTACTTATTGAAAGAACAGATTACATAAAAACTTTTTACTATTTACTAATTGTAAAGAATATTATTGAATTATTATTTATGTCTTTATTTTTAGAGATGTGATTACACTGTTCTTACACCTTTTTTACCTCCTAAACATGAATATGTCATATATTTGAAAATGTCCAGCAAACAAATTGAGTTATATAAGTATTATTTAGATAAATACAGACAATCAGAGTTATTTGCTAATTATCATATGCTTCAAATGATCTGGACTCATCCAAAATTGCTAGCAATATATTCCAAACAAGTTGAAAAAAAAGTATATTTTGCTACATTTTTAATTTATTGGCCTTGCCCTTATAATATATTTTGTGTATTTAGAAACAAAAATTGAAAGATATGGAATCAACCTCAAGTGACAATACTTCTGATGTTGATTCTCATTCAAGTTCAATTGAGCAAATTGAAAGTAAGTTTTTTCAACCTTATATTAAAAAATGAAAGTATCTCATCAACAATAATTAAAAAGTAGTAAATTATCCAAAAATAAACTTAGAAATTATAACAATTAATTTATATTGATGATTAATTATTTTATTATTCTATGAAATCTCAAAATTAAACTTAGAATAAAAATATTTTAGGCTGTTTTAAATGTATGGATTAATAAAAAGAAATCTGCCCCTATCATCCTATTATCGCCCATAAATTTGTCTTTTTTTTAAAAAAGAGTTTTTTTGTATATCTTTTACGTCAAAATACACAGATCTGTGATTAATATAGTTCAAACCAATATGCATAAAAATTTATGTTGTATAGTATTACAAATTACAAAAAGTTATATTATTTAATTTAATACAGAACTTTACACTGATAGTAAAAAAAAAGTCCTCCTATTTATTAATTAGAGTCAACACCTTTGTGATTCTGATATTAAGCTTATATAGATATAAAAAATATGTTTTATTCTCATAAAAAACTAGTAATAATTTCACTATAATTATAATAATTATAGTTTTTTCTTTTTGTTTCTCAATATAAATGGGAAAACATTTTTTAATTAATTTAAATAAATATAGTTTCAACATTTTATTAAAATAAGTTTAATTTAAATGTATTTTATTTTTAATACATACTCAAAGTTGTTTTAATGTTACTCTTAAAATTTTAGATGTGGATTACAATTGGTGGAAAGAATTAGTGACAAAGAAGGATTTAGAAAGTGTGTACCCATATTCAAAGTTTATAATGATGTTTTCATTACTTCAAGAATGTGAAGAAATAGGGGATAAAGTGTTAGTATAATATTTATTAAGCCAAGTCTATCCAATTTATTTTGGGAAGTAGGCTATAATTTCAGTTACATTTAGCTGGTGGACTGTATTATAAACAAGACATGCTTACACTTATGTTTCTTCTATACATAGGTACTTAAGTAGATAAGTATTTAAATCTAACAAAGTTTTAAATTGCATATGTTTTAATAATATATAAATAAAAAAAAGAACATCAGTGAGAGAGAGAAGTTACTATTTAATTTTGCTAGGCTGACTATGTTCACGTCTATAAATATAAAAATAATACCTCGATAAGCTCGTGGGAAATATACATGAGGCCGAGGGGAATCAAATAATGATTAAAAATAAAATAAAAAACTAATTTTCTATGTCTATAATGTACCTATAATATTATATATATTGTTTATATTATTCATTATTCATATTTTAATGTTGATATATTATTAAAAGTATAATATTTATACATAATATAAATATAAATATAAATATATGTATTTATATTTATTAACAATCAACTTTTTTCATTTCCAATGAACTTGAACTAGTAGATAATAAAATATTCTTGTATTTCATAATATGTATGCGGTAAAATGAACATAACAATTGATAAAGCTATATTAAAACTTTTTGTAGTGCTGGTAATTGATGTTCTGCTGTACTTAACCTTACCTACTTTAGTTAAATAAACTTGATAAAGAATATAAATCAAATTATTTTTTAAAAAGTGAACATTTTAGGTTGATGATACTTTATATATATTTTTTTAACACATTTTTTTTTTATTTTCTTAATATAGATTAATATTTAGTCAATCATTAAATACTCTTGATCTCATCCAACATTTTTTGGAAAATGCTGAATTAATTAGCAGTGATATGGGTGGTCCATATGGTAAATCATGGTATCAAGGTGAAGATTTTTTTAGAATTGATGGTTCTGTGAATTTGAAAGATAGAGAAGAATGTTGTGACCAATTTAATGATGTCACAAATTTAAAGTATTTTTGCTTACATTCATTTAAATATTCCATAAATGTATTATACTATTTTGATGTAATTAATTATTCAGGATGCGTCTTTTGTTGTTATCTACAAAGGCTTTCAACCTAGGTGTTAATCTAACTGCTGCAAATCGAGTTATTATTTTTGATGTGACATGGAATCCAACTCTAAATGTTCAAAGTATATTTCGTGTATTCAGATTTGGACAAACTAAACCATGCTACATATATAGATTTGTTTCAGAAGTAAATTTTTTAATACTTAAATAAATTATGATGTGTTACAGTTTTATTATATTTAAGGGTACAATGGAACAAAAAATGTATGAACGCCAAATATCAAAGTTATCTATGGCTTTCCGTGTTATTGATGAACATCAAATTGATCGTCATTTTAATGCTAAAAATCAAGAAGAATTATATGAATTTGAGCCCATAACAACTCCTAAAACAACTAATTTACCTAAAGTATTTAAATTGTTTAAAAAAATACTCATTATTCTAGTTTTTTTTTTTTTTATTTTTATTATGAATATATTTTATAACTAATCTTAAGATAATTTGCTATTTTGATTTCTATGCTCTTAATTCTAATTATTTATAGGATCGTTTAATGGCCGAGTTGATCTTGAAGCATAAAGATCTTGTAATAGACATATTGGAACATGATTCATTACTGCAAAATAATGAAGCAGAAGAATTAGATGAAAATGATAGAAATGCAGCATGGGATGATTATGAAAAAGAAAGATCCGGACTGATTAGTGCAGAGCAATTTGTACTAAATATGAATCATAACAGTTCAATAGACAACTTAAAAAGTGAGTGTTGAAGTTTTAATTCCATATTTTATAATTTAATCAACGAAGAAACTTACTAATTTCTCAATTAAATTATACTAAAATAATACTTTATATTAGTATAATTTTGATTTATGTATCTTAAATATTCCATATCAATCACAAAAAAAGTAATCAATTTTTTCTAAATACAATGTATATAATACTTCTTTGTTAGTGCATTAGTTATTTGTTATTTGTAATAATTTATAATTATATAATGATAATGATATATCTATATTCACTAGTTACATCACAACTTAAATTAAATTAATTAATTTATTTACCATTAACACCTAAATTTTTTCTAAAATATTTTCCCATTATAGATTTATTTTTAAAACCAGTAATTTAAGAAATTATTGAAATATTAACACATATTTTGTAAAATATGTAATAACCTAAGAATATTTATCAAATTACATTTATGGTTTGTATCTATCAAATTAATTAAAGTAGACTCTAATCTGAATGATTAACAAATTAATTGAATTGAATACATCTACATAAAAATAAAGATTTTAATTTTTAATGCTGTAATTAATTTATAGATATGCTGTCTTCACGAATGCAAACATCACCCGAAGATGTAGCACTGTTCAATACACTAAGAAATGTTGTAAGTATTTGTAATATTATTATGTTGAATTTAAATGAAATTACTATAACATTTAACAAAATTATTGATGCTAATGCTGATTATAAAACCCCATTATTTGTAACTTAAGATTCATCTTTTCTAAGTATGCAATTTTTTTTTAAAAAAAAAAAAGCTTTATTCGACTGGGTTTCCAACTTAGCATTGAACATGCTGGACTGTATTGGTGTATAAGATGAGAGAAAATTGACTTAGATAATTTAGACATGTGATGAGACGAGAAGAAACAAATACAGTAAGAATTGTTATGAAAATGAATGTTGAAGGGAAAAGAGGAAGTTGATAACCAAAAAATAGGTGATTGGATACGATTGAGAATTTTATGAGGGCCATTGGTGTGTGTATAGGGAATGTAGAAAATCGAGACAAGTGGAGGTTAGGACGAGGGTGGCCGACCCCAAATATTTGGGAGATAGACGAAGAAGAAGAATTAGATGAAATTTATTATTTTTGTTTAAATATCAAATAAATTTTACATTATAATTTTTACATTTTATATATTTATTAATTAGCAGTACATAAAAATGTAAAATAGAACATACAATATATATGTTAATTATTTTTAAATTACAGTTTCCTAAAGCTTCCATGGTTCAACTGAATGATATGTTAATTCAAGTAAAGCAATCACAAGCTGAACAATAATAATATAATTTTACTAAACATATTTATAATTTTTACTTTGAAAAATGTATTGATTTGTTTTGTTCCATACAAATTTGATAAATTAAAACTAATATTAGTAATTATACATTAATATAGTGTTTAAGGAAAAGTCTAGTGTTGAATTATTTTTGTACTCCCATAGTATATTTGTATTCCTATAATTTGTTCACATTGAATTTTTTATATTAGTATAATTTTTATTAATTTTATTGTACATTGTAGTATAATCGTGATGATAAACAGAATAGTTCCATGTACAATAAAAAAAAACACTTAAATATTTAAAATTATAAAAGTGTATTTTATTTTAATTTTGCTCATTTGGTTTTGGAGTAATATTTATTACCAGTTTATGGTAAGGTTAATACAGGTAATAACACCACACGATTACGCCCTGCAAATTAGCTCGATAGCGCTCCGTGAAATATAAGGTCTTGCCTTTCTAACAATTTTCAAATATACTATTTAAAATTCAGTCTGAGTGTAAAACTCAAAGTTTAAGTTAGGTTAGATTATCATTTTAACAATTTTCCAACGAGTATTTATGTTGACAAAGATGTGACAAAAGTTCTTAGCGTGCTCAATGAACACAATCACAACATAATTTCTGAAAGCATAGTAGACGAATAAAAAATTCCAGAATAAAAAGAAAATTTGAAAGTGACTTATTTACGAAACCGAATAAAATAATTCGACAAGAACTACGTAGCACAGAAAATTGTCAGTCCTAAGCCTGTAAAATTGGGAAGGAAACATACTTGTAGTGACAGTACCCATTTTGTGAAATTACTTTAATCAACAAAAACATGACAAGTAGTTAGACTAATTTTAAGTATGTTCTTAAATTTTGAATATTAAAAACAAAACGAAACAGAGAACATAAACACGAATAAATAATTTTGAAATGTCTGTCAAGAATCATTTGATGATTCAAAAGCAAATAAAATATGTAACCATGGACGTTATAAACATAATGACAATGATGAAAAAATTAAACCGAAAAAGGATGTTTTAAATTTGAATATACAGTCTGATGATTATGGTGACATTAAATTGGGTCAAAAGTAACGTAAATTTCAAGTAAATAAAAAATACTTAATTAATAAATTAATTATAATTAGAATAAAACAAGAAAACTTGATTCTTGATTAATAACATATTATATTAAATAGCTTTAATATATTTTGTTACATTATTTTGTTTTACATAGAAAATATTGAAAAATTTATTTTTTTTAGACATTTTCATTAACAACATTTTGAATTCTGAATAGAAGTTTTAATACTAATTATTATAGTAAATTTAAATGTTTAAAATATAGTATAATAACGACCGATATGAATAATTGTTCCGATTAATAGGAAACTTATTGACTTATTGAATTGTGAACTTAATGTATTGTGGACAGTAGTTTGGAAATAACATAATAGTGTACATTATACAGTGGCGGATTTAGTGTTTTGGAGCCCCTAGGCTTAATCACTCTTCCCTCCCCTATCATTCTACTATGGAACCAACAATATTTGGTCTAAACCTTTTTTTTAAATTTTATTTAGTTTTTTATCAAAAAAAATATTTAATATTAAATCTTTAAAATAGAAAACTTCTAAAAATAAAATATTTCATGTCTATTATTTTACTTCAGATACCATTATAACCAGTACAAATAAACAATGCTTATACAGTCACATAACGGAAATATAAATAGCCAGATATGAAAATACCTATACTTGGATAGTCGGATGTTCCCAATAAGTACATAGGTATTAATAAGTTATTAATAATAACTAGTAAGTAATTGTAATTATTTTATTACAAATGAAATATTTTCAAATTGTAATATTCTTACTATAGCATATACAATGTTCATATTAATATATTATTACCTATAACTTTTTAAAATTATTTTTATTCGTGTTTATATGATAAATATAAAAAAAAAATATATTAAAATAAATATACCTAATAAGTCAATAATAAAACTCAATTCTATAAAAAAAAAAAAAGCTGCCCTAAGCCTTTTAGCCTGTCCCCTAATCCATCATTGACAGTATAGACTATAGTGTGATGACAGATTTATGTAAACAAATCCTCCATCACGCTAACCATAATAATTATTGTAATAATTCGAGTACTTTTGATTTTTGAACCAATATGGTGGTTAGTAAATGATTCGATACTATTCATTTGATACCAGTTTTTTTTATCGTTACAAGCAGAGTATCGAAACCATGGTATCGATACAAAAAGTACTTGTATTGAAAGAAAAGTATCGATACTTTATTGTTATCGATAGTATGACAACGTCCCTACACATGACAATAATATTTTTCATAGAAAACAATGAATTTATTGGAATTACTCAGTCCAAATTCAAAAACTCTGAAAGTAGTTAATTTTTTTAAGAGATTAACTAAAATACAAATAAAAATAAATTGTTGAATATCAATTAAGTTTATTAATTCAAGTAAATTTATACAACAATGGGTAGGAAATTACACCTTATTCATTTTTATACATAACAATATTGAAATACATGAGTTAATTATATTTTAAATAAATCTAAACACTGTATGCACAATATAAAATACATATATTTTGCTTTTTTTATTTGTTCAACATATGATGCATAATATTATATAAAATGTTTCATAGTTATTTATCTGAGCCATAATTTTAAACGTAAAGCATCCACACCATTCAGATAATAGCAGAAGAGGCGTTTGTCTCTAACAAAGCCTAAATTTTCATACAATTTTAATGCTGGTTTATTAGTAATTTCTGTTTCAAGTACAACCTGAAATGTTACATAATATAATTAATGTATTATAAATATTTTTAAATGTTTTTTAATAGAATTTTAATTTATTGTAAATATAATTTTTGAATAAAACTAATTTTCTTTAAATAAACCAATATATATGAAAATTTTAAGTAGTTTTATCAGTGTTTATAAGTAATATCAACTATTTATCTACCTATAAAGTAACAAAAAATCATTGATACTTTAATAATATGTTTATATTAATGCTTAAAGCTCTAGTGGGAAAAATAATATTATTTCCATTAGTATTAATAAAGTAGTTTTTCAGTTACTTATTTTGTTATTTCAATAGAAGAAAAAGCATAAGTTTAAACCAAAGTTAATTCTGTAATATAATTTAAATCATATCCAGTTGGCTCAAATACTCAATAATGTTGTTATAAATCATTTTAAGAAACTAGACCAAAATAACATAAGCAGAAAACAATTATTTATACAATTTTAAAAATATTAAACAGTTTCTTATTACATGTATTTTTGTTTATTAATAAATTTGCATTTTCTTTACACTAAAACTAATAGTCTATACCAATGGTTCTCAATCGGGGTGACATGGACGCAGTATAGGGGTGACACAGAATCTCCAAAGGAAAATTAAAAAAATTTTAAGAAAATCATATTATTTTCACAACTGTCATGTAAATAGTATACCTTTAGGTTTGTGTCTTTATATTATTTAGAACCGATAAATACATACACTATTTTGATTTGCGAAATCTCTGCATTATCGATTATCTTATTGATTTAATTGGGATCGTTAGTCAGTTATTTTACAGTAACTAGATATGTAGTGTTATAGTTCTATAATTTTAGAAAATATGAGACTCGGTCTTTCTACCATAAGCCCTCGACTTTTTCAATTTTGTAAAAACCACTAGAGCCCAATTTTTCATCAGTTTTCATACAAATCATTATTATTTTTTCTCTTTTTTTTTTTTATTTTGCAAATTTAAAATTTTAACTGTTAATGTTTATTAAACCCTGCAACTCAAATAAATTGTAGGTGTACTTATTATTTTTCTGTGAACTTTATTTTTTATTTTTTGTTATTTCAAGAATTATTCTAATATATATAGTTAAGATTATTTATTATTTTGATGTTAAGGTGACGTGGTGTTTTATTCTAGTGGCTAAAGGTGTCATGAAAGATAAAAGAATGAAAATCACTAGTCTATAAAATACAATTATCCATGAATTTAATTATAATTGTAATTAATTAATAGAATAAACTTACTTCATCTGCACCATCATTAACCATAGCTTCAATTGCATTCAACACCAAATTAGAACCTAAAATATAGATTATTTTTAGAATTTATATTACATTAATTAATAAATAATTATAATACCAATATGTTGTTTTCGGTAATTTTCATCCACTGCTAACATTGCGATATAACCTCTTCTAACTTTTCTGTGAGCATCCAACTTACATACTATTGCTCCCACACTTTTGTCAACATCCACAGCCTAAAACATGATTAAAATATTTATATTCTTATGTTTTTATTAAATTTAATATTTAAGTATTAAATATATAGATGTACGTGTATAGCTTACTAAAAAACACAATTTAGGCCAATTGTGTATAAAATAACGATACGTATAAATAGAATATGGTTCGGATAAGTCTTTTTGTATTAATCGCATGATATCTTTCATTTGTTGCTCATTTTTATAACAAACATATTTGACACCATCAATTTCTTGTACGTCTTCGGTAAGCTCACAATTATTTACAGCATTTGATGAATACGACGATGACGGTTTACATTGACTAGACAATGATGATAATGTAGAATTTAAATATAATTTATTATGTCCTACGTCGTCACAATGGACATTATTTTCAGATATAGATAGAAGATTCACATCAGCAATAAGGTCGGTGTTAGAGTCAACATTTGATTCATTTACATGGTTGACATCAGACACCACCGTCTTTTCATCATCTCTTGTGTCTAGCTCTTGGGATTGAAGTCGTACGTCTGCCATTTAAGTTACCATTTATTTCCGGCATTAATAATTATTATAACTTATAACATATTTTTTGGTTCTAAATACTATACATGTTGACTTAAAATTCTCAAAAATACATACCATTATCATTAAATTATAATACAATTGATTATAGACTGTTGACCATGGCTTAAAATATGGTTCTACCTCTTCTAAGACCATGGTTTAAAATATCAACAACCATACTGTCAACACATTTCCATGGAAGAAATAAAGGGACGGCATAGATCATTTTTAATTTTACAAAAATAATATCACTTGGAGGTAAGTTGAAAATCAGTGTTTAGTTATTGTAAAAATCAATCCCGTGACTGATAGTCTGAAACATAAATATCCAATAACGTAGTTCTTATATGTATTATTATGAATACATAAATAAATTGTTCACATATATAAAAAAATATAGAATATTTCATTATAGCAATTTAAAAATAGGTACAATTAACACTTGTAATACACAAACATAATTTTTATATTTTCATTTAATAGAGTATAAAATAAAATGTAAAATTAATTAAAAATTTATTAAAATTTGTAATGCAGTATACTAGGGCTCGGAAGTTGATGCATTTTGCATTTTTTTTCGAACTTTTTAGAAGATGCTATCCTGGCCACAAATGTGTTTCATTAGCATGTGAATCCAAATAACTAATTTTTACTTTACATTTTTTGGTATTTGTTACATTTTAAGTCATTTTTTGACATTTTTAGGCAATTTTTTACATATTTTTACTAATTTTTCACTATTTAATTTCTTATTATTTCTTATCGAACATTATGTCGATAACTTAAGACTTTTCTGATTTTATCTCGTCGATTATATTCGTCGTTGTCTTGTTGTAGTGAATAATAAATATTATATCTAAATTTTATTATTTTTTCGTAATATTTTCGAAACGACGAAAATTAAAACGTCGGTTAGTTTTCGTCTACGTCTCCCAATCACTTCAGTGGACGTGGAGAGAAATTTTTCCAAATATAAATATTTATAAATAGATAATCGTCATTGATTTACTTTTGATAACATCAAATAGGCTCTAATCATACAATGCAATGATTTTGATTTTTGAGTAATTTGTAAGTTTTCACAAATTTATAAAACAAATGTTTGTCATTTTTTATTTCATATTTTAAGGACATTTATTGTCATTTTTATGTCATATTTTGATTAATTTGTAAGTTTTGATAAATTTATATAGAATGTTATAGTAAAATAGAATAAAATATAAAAAAAAATATGTTTTTATTAATTTAAAATAAATATTTGTAATTCTTTAGGTCAATTTTTAAGGACATTTTTTGTCATTTTTATGTCATATTTGCATCTTTTTTTTTGATAATTTTTTAATGTTTTTAAGGTCATCAACTTCAACGTCCAGCAGTAAACGTTAAGGTACTACCTATTAGGTAGGTATGAACGTTATAAGCAATAAGTATGTCCATACAATAAATAAAAGTAAACTCACTCATAAAAACAAAACCGCCTTAACAATTTCACCTTAAAAACTTGTAATAATTAGAATCTAGCTTAAAGAAACAAAGGGATATATAAATATACTAACCAAGCTAAACACCTTTATTACCTTTCTCTGTGGTAGGAAGAAATATTGTTTTATATTTCTGTATAAAATGTTTTTTCTTACCTCGTTTTGACGTGGTTAATTGGTAAAAATAATGATAAGTTTTAATGAAATAAATATTACTCTGATATATCCATGACTTTTGTAAATGCTTTGTAAAAGACTCACGACACAACACTGTTCATGGAGACTACCCGAGAAGAGGTTGGTAGAGCATTTCTCTTGTTTTTTTATATGTTTCTAATTGTTATTGTTATTGTGCGTTTCTATCATTATGTTTTTATTGATTAAATATAATACAATGGTATTTATTGCTATATTTTTATATACATGTTATTCTTAAAATTATATCTATTTTAATGTACAAAGTAATTTAATAATTAATATATGTTCGTAACTACATTTATAATTGATTATTCTATTTAATTTGTTTTTTATTTTTTTGTGGCTAACATGCGTAATGTGTTTACGAACATATATTATTACAAACTACAGATATTATTTATATTTAATAATCAGAAATATATTTTCTATCTTTCTTAATAAAGTAATACAAAACAGAATTGAAAAATTGAAAAAAGAAATCGAAAAATGAAATTGGACAGCAATCAATATATCTATCACATTACCTACTATCTGAAACTCAAGCATATTGAAAAATATTTAGTAGTTTAGAATAAGTATAAATATTATAAGATAAATAAATTGTAACCAATCATTAAAATATTGGGGATCAGAAAAGACAATTCTTATAAGGATTTGGATAAGGATTTAAAATACGTATGTCATAAATAAAATAGTTGAAGTAATAGCTCAATTACATAAAGCGAATTTTGGAGGCATGGCCATTGAACTCTATATGTTATCATTAAAAACCGGATATAATTGCATTAAAAATATCTTAAAATTACATTAAAAATATGCCAAAATTGCAATGAAAATGTATCAAAACTGCAGTATAAATATGTTAAAATTGCAATGAAATACATTAAAATTACATAGTAAAATCATATCAAATATATAATCATTAATTACTTACTTAAATAATATTATGAACATCAATATAACATTTACAAAATATATCATTATTCTGAATTAAAATTTATAATTATATACATCTCTAAATTGTGTTCTTGAAAGTTGTATAATTGTATCGTCTGTTACTTAAAATATGTTTTTATAATAAAAAAAGTATGTTTAACGTCGATACTTGTTATCGATGCATATTTAAAATAGTTTAAAAAATTGGGTGATGTATCTAAATAAGCAGTTTGATTTCCTGTCATAATCTCAGAGTAAGTTTTAATAGTTTTATGCCCTTCATTTTTTTCTAAGACATATTTTAATTTATCTTTAACTAGTTTTCCATTGGGACCGAGAATATTTATAGAAATATTTATAATAAATATTTTTATTTAGTTAGTATTTGTTTAGTATTTATACTAAATATGTTTAAACTATTAAGTAATTGACTATTTGATTCTTCTAAACTTATGAGTTTTGTGGATAACTCAGATAAGTATAATTTTAAAAATCCTAAACTACATTTAACTATTTGTAAAAATTTACGTCGTAGTTATATTTTTTAAGTAAAACCACTTTGGAAATAATAATTTTTATATTTTATCACGTGAAGTATACAAAAATTGCAATAATTGCAAAAAATTGCATTATTAAATTAAATAGGAAGACTGTAATTAATCTAATTCGTATACATAAATGATCAGATTTGATTTACTGGGTATCAATACAAAAGTTGCAATATCAATTAAATCCGATCTTATGTTATCATGTATATCATGTAGATATTATGTATATATATGTTATCATATGATGTTCAATGGGCATGACTAGACATATTTTTTATGGTTAATTTAATAATTTTCATTTGACAGGGGAATATAATTGTAAATAGAGGTACAACCGTAATCTTATCCGTGATAGCAATCGCTTATATAATAAAACAATATCGATAAAAGCTCATGAAATTTAACTTTATTAAATTTTTAAATATTTGTTAAAATTTCAGTAAACCTAAACTTAACCTAAATATAATCTTTGGTACACTTCTGGCAAATTTATTTGATGCTTGTTAAGTTACTCGTGAGTGAAAGTGCACCAACTTGTCCGATTACATTCTAACCAACTTGCTCGCTGATGCATATGACAATCAAACGTTAAAGAGTAAAAATTAATATTAATATTGAATTATAATTTAATAGTTTTTTAATTTTTGAAGTATTAAAATATTTCTTTTTTATTTATATATTGAAGTTGAATATTCAAAATATCAGTGATTTTGTTTTTAAAAATGTACGTACACTATCCACTTCTTTATAATATATAACTTAAGGAAAACTGTAATATCAAATTAGAAAGAAATATTTAAAAACTTCTATTCAGAATTTGACAATTGAAAATTAGTAGAGAGAATAGATGAAAAAGACATAAAAGCCAAAATAAAAAATATAAAAGACGTTTATCGAAACGAAAAAGATAAAATTGAAAAAAATAAAAAAAAAGACTTAAAAACACAACTAGTCGCGACTACTCGCGAGCACACAAGCGGTTTTTCTAATCATATCGATTAACACAAAGCGATTTTTCTCGCCAGAAAATAAAATAGCTAGTGAGTAGCAACTAAAGCATCCCACTCGTAAGCAAATGAGAATGATTTTGCTTAATTAACATTTAATTCATTTTTTTAATTTCATACCTTACCTAGGTTGATGCCACTGAAAGCCGATGGGTATATTAAGTATATCGATGCAATATAGTTTATACTCTATAGCCAGACTATACTGACAATTTTTAATCTATTCTGTATTTTGGTGGTTGATACTTTTATAAATTATTACTTTTATTATTATTCTATAGTTATCCTTATACAAAGAATTTAAATAAAAAATTTAAAAAATAATCATAATAGATCAGATTAATATTTTGACTTTTGATAGTTCGTGCTAAATAACAATATTACTAAATAATTTGTAAGGTTTAAACTATCTACATTAAAATTTAATTTATATATGTAATATTTCAATAAAAATATATTAGATTTTATATCGTTTTTGACAGTAACAGTTTACACCATTTAATATGTATACTAAAAAACAATGTACATATCATTGAATGCTTAAAATTTAAAGTGGGTTTTCATATTTCTAAAATAAAGTTGTATTACACCCATTAATCACGTAAATAAACATAAATTAATTAGAAAAAATTATTATTTGACCAATACAAATCATAAATCATAATGCATATTTATAAGTTTTATAGTTTAAATAAATTTATCATGAAACATTGAAACACATATAAAATCAGGGTTGGACTAACTCTCACAAACAACTCAAGGAATAGTTGTACTGGCTCCAATTATCAGCTTATAGGTCTTATAGAGTGTACAAAGAAAATATTAGAACCGAAAAACTACATTCACTTATATTATTTAATTTATTCGTATTGCCTTCAATTGTTATTAACAAAACCTAATTTACCTCAATCACACTAATTAATTTCCAATTTGTTTTATTATTCTTTATGTAATTCTTATTTAGTACCCGTAATCATTTATCGCTGCTCTATAAGTTTGAACTACGTTATACTTCCACGCAATAATAGTTGACTTTTGTTTCCTGTATGTTTCTTGTAGTCGTAGGATATCAATCTTGTGTACCGTACATAGGTTGATAGGGTGGCCATTCGTTCCGAATTTTCCGGGATGTTATCGGTTTAGGAACTCATGTCCCGGTATTCCGAAAAAGTTTTTCGGGACAGGGCGTTGTTACCGGGTTTAGCTATCAACATAATAATGTCCAAGAATTTAACTTATTTCTTAAATTATTATTATTATTACCTGGTTCTAAAGCATCAATAAAACGAGTATTTTCATTGATGACTTCCACTTAGATCGGCGTTTGTAATCAAATGGATGTGGCAACTGTAGAAAGTTGTTTGATTAACAAAACATATGATTTAAGTTGCATGGAATTTTACTACAAAATTAGAAAAAATCACTCTTTTCTGAAGAACGTCCACAATATGCAAAAATGCACGATGACAGCTGAAGATAAAGCTTAAAAAACTTTACCTGTGTATGCATTATATCCACTATGTCATTATGAAGCACAAAAATATGTAAACTGTGTTTAAAATTTTAAAATTAATTTTTGTTGAAAATAAAAGTATACTAAAATATATATATTTTCTATTTCTTTAATTTTAATATTTAGCGTTTAATATTTCATAATGAAACCCACAAGTAAAACATGTTAAGATGAAAATTTTTAGTAGTTATGATTAGATAGAAAGATTAGGTCAAGTTAGAATTTATTGTCCCTCATTTATTTTTTTACCTGACCACCCTATGTGAACATCGTTCAATCTTGATAAGTAATCCGATTTATCTTAACTAATATTAACCCTTCAATATTAACTTGAAGAATGTGAAGCGGAGGGCCTACATCCCAAGTCTGAGACCCCTGAAAAAGATAGTTTTTTAATGATTGCCCGCAGATGATGCAATATCATAGGTATAGCAGCTAAAAATGGAGTAAGATCTTTATCCGTCAATGACATTGCGCAGGATGCATTACGAGGAAGCGATTTATTAAATAATAGTTGTTAAATCCCGTTTATATTCATGTTAAATAATAATACAAAATATATTCTTTCCTTTTTTTTGCCACTATGAACTCTCTGACCCGCTATTTTTAATTTTGAGTATCAGGAAACACATCATCAAAATATACTCAAAAATATTACATATTATATAACCAAATATAAAATTTAAGATTAACATTCATAGGTATAAAGGAACAGTGGCGTAGCAAGGGTATGGCGAACTGTGACTACGTCAGGGGCGCAAAATTCTGCAAGCCGTATTTTTATTCTACAATTAAATCGACATTTTTCCATTATAATTTTTGAAATACGTAGATGTTGTCTATTTGTACACACTACGTGTGAATTTAATAGTAAAATTATGAAAATAGGGTATTTAAATAATTGATTGAGAATATAGGTACACGCACAATATAGGTACAATTGTTTTTAATTTTTTATGAACTTTTATGAACTTTTTTACTGACAAAAGTGGTACTAAAACCTTCAGCAGAGTGTCGGGTTTCAGCCAAAAAAAATTTCAGCCAAATCGGTTCAGTAGTTTTCTCGGTTAGCGCGGTCGAAGAAAAACCCTTACAATTTTATATATAGTATAGTATAGATAGATAGATTGCTTATCGGCAATGCAATCATGTTCATATAAATTTACTTGTACAATGTGTGTCATAATATCATATGATTCATGATTTTAATGTACCTACTCTATAAATAATAATCATTTGTGTTATAATAAAAATTAAATTGATTTTAAAATGTTTTCAATTTCACGAAGATCATTCATGTTTTTTTGGCAATGAACTCAATTATCAGAAAAAATTAACTAAAAATAACTAAAAGTTTTTAGTTTCTAAATAATTTAAGGAGTCAATATAAACAATAATGTATATTTGAGTGTCTGTGAGATGAGAAGTAGGAGTCAAATAGCATTTGAAACAGTATTTGAAACTAATTATTATGGCACAGGTGTATAATATTATTATCAGTTATTTATTAGTAGGTATATTAAAATACGTTAGTAATTAAAATAAATCGTAAAAAATGTTATGCAGATAGCACTTCAATTCTAAAATTACAAAATAAAAAAATTAAAAAAATATATTTTTGAATTTTTATAAATCGAAATGTTATTTACCGTAAAGATATGTGATCAATGACTGAAAACCACAAAATAGATATCTATATAATTTCACCAGTTCAGTGTTTGAACTGACACATGCTGAATCTAAGGTTTATGTAGATAATAAATAAAGAATAATAATATTATCTATAAACCTTGAGCTATACTGACACACAATATCACGCAATAATATTATTATTCCAATATTCAAGTACTATATACATTGTACTCGAATACGTTTAGAACATGTACACGTCATGTTAGGTTACACGTTAGTACGCCATGTGTACAGTAAGAGGACATGTACACGTTCTACCTACACACACGTCACGGCATTCGATCGATGAGTGATGCTATCAAAATAGCTATAACAACTATTTATTGTGCTTCACGAAGTATCGTGAGCAGTAAAATTTTAATTAGATATTAATGTGCAGGACTTGTATTTCTAATTTTCCCTTCAAAACCTTTAACGTGTGAGTTGCCGATACATTTATCCGTATCACTTAGTCGTTACTGCGATAATTGGAATTCCCTCCCTATCAGTCGGGCGTGATTCAACGCTCGCTCACAGGTCATTTCTACTATTTGAAAATGATTATAAACATTTATGTATATCACTAAAGTACCTAGGTCATGTTCTCGAGCATATATATACATATGCAATACCACCCTCTCATTCACTGTTGTGTTTAGATTTAATCGATACGTCACCGTAGTCTTACTTCTTACGTTCGATTAAATTTCCTTGTGTATACTCATGTGGCTATACCAAGAATGTTGTTTGCTCCACCCCCTTCGTGTGAAATGTACTCTACAAATATAATGTACTTGAAATACTTTTTTCGAGCTCATTCGGCTATAATAATCTATCTAGTAACACTTAAATTCGTCACGTTTCGCTTATGAAGTGCGCGTAACGGGAAAATACCAATCAACATCTACGTTTAGTCCATGTGGGATGTAGATGGTAAAATAAAAAAAATAAAAAGCGTTATAACAGAAGTATACAAATTAACTTAACATACATTTACACTATCTTGAGCACGACTACATTAACGAATAATACTACTTCTGAACTTGCATTAACTAAATATATTTAAGTAATTCGCGGTAAAATGTAGGTTCCGTGCTTAGTATTATTTTAGTCAATGTGACACGCAGTTTAATATAAATTATAATTGAAATTAGCGAATTAGCATTATAGTACGATAATATTGGTAGTATTCGACATCTTACCGGGACAAGGGTGGTCACAGTACGTTCTGCCCGGGTAAACTGTTCACCGCCACGAGATAGTCGGTTATCAAGAGTACGTTTTTCTTTTAAGGTTTTTATCGATTTCGAGATTTAACACCGTACGTCTCCCGCGCCGCGTGACGTGATAATAGTTCAGTAGGAAGGTTATTTTTTCTTATTCTTCCTTCGGTCGGATCGCTACAAGTGAGTGGTGACAACGTCTTGCACGCGTAAAGCATAACATTTGATTATTTCATTCGCGTGTCGCTGTCGCAGCCGCTCCTTGGACGTTGGTCACATATTGGTTTGGCTATTACACACGCCGCCAGCCCTCTCTCTCCCTCGTGCTCCCACTCACTACCGTCGAGGCCCACAGCAGCTGTTTGCGCGCGCGTCTGCAACGTCAGTAACCAACGATCGCACCGTAGTCGTCACCCGTACCGCGGCGTTCCAGGTCCTCTTGCTGCGTTCGGTTGTCCCATATGCAACGTAACGCTGATCCGTTCAATTAGTCGGTAGTTTTCCCGTGACCCGCTTATCGATAACGGCGCTGTCGGTACATTGCGCGTACGGCTGCAAGCAGCATTGATTAAACGTAGACTTCGTCCGATCCCAAAAAGTAAGTTGTTTCCTATTCCGTACCGGTATCGTTTAACTTTTAGTTTTCCCTCCTCTTGGCCGTCTCTAACGGTCCGCGTGTCGCCCATTCCTCTCCGTGCGATTTTTACGATTTTACGTTGCCCCACTCCCTCTCCACCCCAACGATGTAGGACAATCCAATCCGTATTGCCGCTGTTTCGAATGCTCACCGCTCAGTAGTTATCCTAGGTCAAGGTGATGTTTCTTTTGCGATCGGACAAATTAATCATTTTTGTTGATTATCGGCTCAGGCCCGAATGTCCAATCATCCCATTAAACGTTCATATATCTGGTCGTTTTGTCTACAATTTTTTTTTTTTTTTTACTGATCTTTGCACTTGACGTGCTCTAATTTCCCATAAACTACACTGTGTCTGTTGTTTCTGTGTTGCTTTCGTTATTGTTGTTTTGATTGAAATAGACCACTTTCTATTTATGATTTAAAGAAAATGAGCCATTGTCATTTATACTTCATTACTTATACCGATTTACCTAGGAAGTCTCAATAACATTGTTTTGTTTTTGAATCCGTATAAATCATTTTTACAATTTAATAATCACTCACAGATAATTGGTTGCCACATATTTCATAGTGTCAGTTGTGAAATATTCATTTAATTAATTTTTTAAGTGATTAAATGCTTGATATTAATTCTTGTAATCTAATAAATATGCTAGCATTGACATAAATAATTGATAATCACTTATTCAGAACACTTATTACAAAATACCTATATAATTAGAAATTAGGTTAAAATAATGATTGATGCCAGTAATGTTAATAATAGCAGTAAACCATTGTTCCTAAAACCAATTAACCATGTTCAAAAATTAAAATATTTTTAATGTCAATATATTTACCTATTGGAAAATTTGATTGTGTTAAAAAGAAAAATAAATGTCCTTGTACTGCTTTCAATTTGGCTTTGTACCAGTAAAATAAGTTGGATATTCTATTTATAAAATTGTTATTTATTCTGCATATTGTTATGTTAAATTATAGAATTAACATATTCATTTTATGAGACAGGTACCTAACTTACCTCAATAAAAATTGAAACATTTAATTGAAAGAAAAAATTCTGGGTTACTAATAATAATTAGTTTTTTCTTGTAAATTAATTTATTTCTTTCCTGTATTTTAATAGTTGGTAATTTTAGATTTTCATGACCTTACGTAATGTCTCAAAATAGTGAAATATCTAGAATCTAGATTTTATTACAATAGTACGATTATAATAATTATTATATTTCAGTCCTGTTTATTTTATCCTGTTTATAACAAGAAATTAATTTGTTAATTGAACTTGTAATTATTAATTACTTATATCTTTACATATATACTTTTATTATATCTTTTGTTAAAATATCTTCATACTATTTAATGTGGAACTCAAAAATTACTTTTAAAAGCATTTGTCTATTATTATTAACTACTATAATTGAAGAAACATGTAGTCTATTTAAACATTTCCTAAAAAGGGGTATATTGAATAATTTTTGAATTATACGAGGAATTATATTATTGAGTTAAAATTATTTTCATGATTTATATTAAACCTCTTCTGTTTTATTTTCACAAAGAAAAATATTGTAATTCTATTTAATTACCAGTAACATTGTATTACTATGTTTTTTTGATTTTTAAAATTATTTTAAATTATATCATACAACATGATATTTTTGCATTTTAAAAAATATGTAACTTAAATAATTTTTTTTATTTAGGAATAATGCATCGAGCACAGTCGGTTGTAAATCAATTAGTCCCTTGTGTGCCAACAATTGTTGGCAGACAAAAATTTGCCACATGGCTAATTGGACCTAAATCTAGATCTTTCATAAGAGCAACTCAGTCATTAACAATGTCAGAGAATAAGTATTCAACTAATGTTAATCAAGAGCAATTTCTTAATGGTACTTCTGCTTCATATATTGAAGATATGTACAATGCATGGCTAGCAGATCCAAAAAGTGTTAATGTTGTAAGTAAGACACCATAGAGTTTATTTTATGATTCCATTTTGGTTTTATTTATTTATTTGTTCTATAGTCTTGGGATGCTTTTTTCAAAAATTGTGATGCTGGAGCTCCACCTGGTTCAGCATATCAAGCACCTCCTTCACTGGCTCCACCAGGAAAAAATCAAATGTTATTATCTAATATATTACCTTCTATTCAAAGTACAGCTGCTATGGGAGGAACATTTAGTGAAAAATTGATTGATGATCACTTGGCTGTACAAGCAATTATAAGATCATATCAGGTAAAATATTTCACACAACTCTTTAAGTTTTTGTTTTGAAATAATAAAAAAAAAGGAAATGGTAAAATAACTGAATTGGTACAATTTAGTGATATTAAAGAATGAAACAAGTCCCAATTAGAAATTACCAAAAATACTTCGTTTAAGAAACCAACTCAAATTTCTTACATGGCATTATCATTTAATACTTCACATAAATAGTTATACTGGAGTTATAGTTGTTTGTTGTTACTGGAAATATTAATCAATTATTAATTTATTTATTATGTAAGAAAAATTTGATTTTTAAATTAAATTTTTTAATGTACTAATTTATTAGTGGTATATAATAATTCTTACATAATGAGCGAAAACAATTTAAGTATATCTTCATCTTTGAATTTAATATATAAAAACAATAATGCTTAAATTTAAACAAGTTGGAAATATAGGTTAATTTCCTTTCTTGTTCTTTAAAAGATAAGTCATTTTATAATTAAAACCTAATAATTTTAAAAATATGAATACAATTACTTATGAATTGTTATAGTTTTTATTATCTTTTACTCATAAGATACAATTTAAAATATTAATCAATGTAATATTTTATTAAAATGTATATAAATTTATAATATTCTCTAAAGAGCAAAAATAAAAATTATATTAATATGAGTAATACTATTAATATTTTTATGTTTCTAAATAACAATTAGAATCTTATATCTTGTAAAAGAAAGTCTTAATTATATACCAAAAGTTTTAGCTTACAACTATGAAGATAATTAAAGGTAAAGTCTTACTAAATTATTTATTATTTAGTATTTCTTAAATGAGCCATTTAATTGATTGTCTAAATTTAGATAAAGTAATTTATATGAGTATAAATTGTTAAATTTGTATTGTGGTATTAGACAATATAGTAAACACTAGGTATTCAACAATAGCATTTATTATTGTCACCTAAATATTATGATTATTTGTTATTTTTGTTGTCTTTATTGGCCATATTAATTAGTGTTTTGCTGTAAAAGTGTAGACCATGAAAACTAATAAAAGTAACTAATTCTTATCACCTAAAAATACAATTATCATTCTGTAATCGTTAAAAAAATAACTATATTAATAACAGAGTTCTAATATTTTATGTATTTAATATACGTGATAATTAAAATGTTTGTAACACGATAGTATGATAAAAAATATATTATTCATTTTTAATATTGCGTTACTTTAAATTTTTTATTCTTTGGTATTTCTGTAGAATATCATTTTAAATCTATGTATTTATATATATATATTATCCCTGTATTATTACATATATTATGAATATAGGTACAATTGAATAATAAACAGAGACTTAATTATTAATCATGTACACTCCACTTAACTACTGTTTATAATTTTACATAAATGTAATATACTTATTGTTTTATCTGTATATTTGTCAAACATTAGACATACATTTAATATACTTGTCGTGTGTACATTCTTATATGTTAATGTTTGAACATTTTGATTGATTATTTTTATTATTTTATGATTAATGTTAATATTATGTAAATAATAAACTTGATAGGCTAAATATTATACCTAAAAAAGTTATTACCAAAGTTTTATACACTATAGGTACGAGGTCATTTTGTAGCTCAAATTGATCCTCTTGGATTTACAAATGCAGATTTGGTAGATGCTCGCAAAAAAGGTAGACCTCATGATGTTGTTCTAAGACAACATTCCATTGGTAAGATTGGGCAATAGTAGGTACATGTAAGGTATTTTTAAATAGTTTGGTTTTATATCTCAGTTCTAGTTTCTTGTGTGTGCATGTCTTAACTAATTTATTTTTATAACAAGTAATTGTATTATTAATTATTCATACAAAATATGCATATTATACAATTATATATGTATAAATACAAGTAAGAATATGTGTAAAAATTATGTAAAACATAAAATATCTTTATTTTAAATGTAACTTTACCAATTGTACAAGTAATTATTGCCCAAAAAATATTCAATATAAAATGACAAAATATTTGGTGTAATTATATAATATCTCAATTTATTCACTAAGTATATGTATGTACCAACAAATTTTATATTCATATTTTCAATACATATTTAAGTACATGTTAATGATTTATTTTAACCAAAACATGATTGACTAATATTTATATTTTCTTCATATATTGATGAGCAAAAATGTATTAAGTGGTAAAATAAATTCAAATTAAATGATGAATATTGTATTTTAATTATTTTTTCTGTTTATATAATTATATATACAAATATAATTTTTGATAAGTATCATTCATACTTTACATATGTTCTATAATATAATAAAATATAGTCAACACATTAGGCTATTGTCATTAATTATGTAAAGTATTTTCAAACAATTTTAATTGGGATATCATTAATAATATTTGTAAACGATCAGTATTCAATAAAAAAGCATTTGAGGTTTAATACTTAAAAAGTAAAATATAATAGAAATATTTTACATACATAATAATATTATAATGACATAATAATGTTATTTTATTTGTAAATAATAAATTAATGTAATAAATTTTAAATAATGAAACATTATTGAGAGAAATATTTTACAAGATTTCTTGACTTAATTGTAATTAATGTGCATTTATTAATGTATTTTGTATTTATTTATTAGCTAAAAATTCAATTCAAATATAATTCTTATTCATTTTTACACATTAAATTTAGTAGTTTATATAAAAATATAATAATATAATAATAAAATTAAAATTGGTTTTATTAAAATATGTATAAGAAATTTGAATTCTATGTTTTATTGTTATATGTTATTGACTTATCATATTTTTATTACAATGTATTTGTTTTTTATCATTTATAAATTAATTGTTACCCTAACAAGCTATAGTGAGATTTAATTTTTCTATTTAATATGTTTTAAATTATTACTAATATGAGTTGAATGTTTGTTTTAAATAAATATGTTTGTGCTTTTTTTGTTTGTCCGCCAATTAGATACGAGGACATCATATTGCACGCCTTGATCCTTTAAATTTAAGTAAAGATGACCAAGATGATAGACTTCCACAAGAGATTTTATATGGTTGTTATCCTCCATTTGGTAAGTAATACAGTTGGCATCATACATTCAAATTTGAATGTAATTCATGTCTATTGAATCATTTTTTTTTTTTTGTTCTATGAATAATTAATTTTTCTTATGAAATATTAATAGTTTATAATTTTTATACTAATGCATCTATTGCACGAATTTTTACTAACTGTATTAAGTTCTTATGACTGTACACAAAGTTATTTTTTAAGTACGCTCATCCTTTTTTGCTTAAATTAAAAAAAAATTCTGATTTCATATCTAATTTATTTTAAATAATAATTTATATACATGTAATTTATCTAAATCATTCTGATTATTAATTCACTTAAACTAATAAGTAATCCATTATATAGAATACATTGTCCAAATTTGGACCAGTACATTTGGAGTTATTAAATTAATTTATGAATGAATTAGTATAGTTTCTTTGAATCGTATAAGAAAATTACTATTAATTTAGTTTAGTATGATGTAATTAATCGTAATTATTTAATCGCTATTTGCTACTGCTTCAAGATAATGCAGATTTAATTTAAATGCTTATCAAAATATTTTTATTATATGTTACACTTTTCATACGCATGCAACTTTTAATTATAATAATAATTAAAGTAATGATCCAAATTTTGATTATGTAACAAAAAATTTTACAAAAATTATTTGAATTATTTAATAAAATTTATGATTCAATTATATCAATTCATCATTTAAATAAAATAGGGTTTCCATTTGTAAAACATAAGTTAATATTATCTCTGAGTAGACCTTAAGAGTTATAAAAAGTATTTGTATTAAATAAAATAATAGTCTTATTGTATACATCAATTTTATATGACTCAGAATTGGACAAATTTAATAACTGAAGCATAAAAAATGTGCAAGCATGCTTAAAAAATCACCGTGTATTTGCCAATAATTATTATAGTTTATAGTCCCTATTTAATGAATTAACCATTTACAATTTTTATGATTTACAATTAACATTCTAAAATATACTAAAAGTTTTGAATAATAATATGGTAAATTTATATTAATAGTTATAATTTTTATATTACACATTTTTTTATTTTAAATTAATACTAATAATATTAATTAGATATTAATCAATTGACAATACATATTAATTTATTAATAATTTAAAAAAAACTGAATTATTTGCAATTTCAAAATGAACCAATAAATTAATTTTATGAAAATGTATACAATTTGTTGACATTTTCATTAATATCATTAGTGTTCATTAGTATCATATAAACTTAAATTTTAAATATTAATTATTAAACTAAACATTTTTTATTATTTGACATCAGCTACTTTTATTTGATTTTTAATAAGTTGAGATTAAGTATTATTGATAAATATTTTTATTTAAATTATTTAAATTTTATAGTTGTATAGCATACATTTTAAATGATTTTTTTATATGATATACTTACTCACAATTTGCTTTTTATTTTAATTTATGCATTTTGAGATTTAACTGTTTAAGGTAAATTTTAATTTAAAAAGAACTGAAAATACTATTAAATTTTATTAGCCGCCTGTTTTGTCCATTTTGCTTTTCATACACCATATAATTTTAAACTAAAAGTTGGTATTGTATAATTTGATTCCATTGTTTATTTTTACTCTATGATTTATGTTTATCTATCAATAATTAACTTGGCTTAGTTATCTTATTTTTGAAATTATGATTGGTAAACCAAATTTAGATTTAAGAGTTTAAGATAAAATATTTTTATTTTCTTTTATAAATAATTATATTTCACATACATTTGTCTGATTATACTATTAAAACATTTTCTTCATTATTTTTCACATTGTAATTTTTTATTCTCTTATTGTCTCCACTTATTAACAACAAACTTGTATTTATAAATGTTAATTTTTTACTCTAAGGCAAACCTTAGATATTTAGTTTATGAATTATGTAAGTTTGATTAAAACTTTTATTGTGAAAATATCTCAATAAATTAATAAGCAAAGTATAAGAATATTTTTAATTCAAGATCATAATTATTAATAGTAAAAATATATTCAAGGATAATAAATTGTGTTAGGAAATAAGATTTTCTTTGACTCTTTTATTATTGATATTACAATATTATTCACTTAATATTTTTAACATTAAGCATTTAAAAAAATAATTTTCCAAACAAGTATTTAAATTGTAGATTAAATTATAATTTTAAATTAGTATACCCATATATTTTATTTATTAGATATTATTTTAATTTAATAATTTATTTTTGTAGTAGTATAGAATATTAATTTTTTTTCTTTGCTTATAAGCAGATTAGAAATAATTATTTAATCATTAATTTTTAATTTTTCTGTTAATAAATACTTCTGTTTTAAATTTAACTAACATTTTACTGATTTTTGAACTTGTTTTTTTTAAAAACTGAGAGTTTATTTGTAGGCAAACCACCCGATAATACTACATATTCTCAACACCTTCAGAATAAAGTAGCCGAATTAATGGGTATGTAGTAAGTTTGTGCAATTTATACCTTTATTTTATTATTTTGTGTGCATGCTATATAAAACATCATTAATCATTTTGTGTGTCCGTTGATTATCACTAATTTCACATATTAAATTACATTTTGTGAATGTATTATCTCATTATTTAGGTGCACCTACACAAAAAAAGATAATGTATCTTAAATTTGTATTATTATATTTCATCATTAAATTTGTTTATTTCTTTGTTATAATACAATATTATTTAACTGAATAACAGAAGAAGCAGATATGGAACGAGTGTTCAAATTACCATCCACAACATTTATTGGAGGAAAAGAAAATGCATTACCTTTAAAAGAAATTTTGAACCGTTTAGAAAATACCTATTGTCGATCAATTGGCGTAGAATTCATGTTTATTAATTCATTAGAACAATGTAATTGGATTAGACAGCGAATGGAAACACCTGGAATAATGGAAATGGATAAAGAACAAAAAAGGCGTATTTTAGCCAGACTCACCAGAGCTACTGGGTATAAATTAAATATACAAGATAAAACTAATCATCACGTTTTGTTTGTAGTATCTTTTTTTATTTAAATAACAATTTTTATTTTTTATTAGATTTGAATCATTCTTAGCCCGTAAATGGTCTAGTGAAAAGCGTTTTGGTCTAGAAGGGTGTGAAATTTTAATACCAGCTATGAAACAAGTTATAGATAAATCCACAGAGTATGGTGTAGAATCAATAATAATGGGTATGCCTCATCGTGGACGATTGAATGTTTTAGCAAATATTTGCCGTAAACCATTAAGTCAAATTTTTACACAATTTGCTGCTCTAGAAGCTGAAGATGATGTATTTAATTTTAATTAATAATTTTTAATCAACTAAACAATTTTATCATGTACATTATTTTTAGGGATCAGGTGATGTCAAATATCATTTAGGTACATACGTAGAACGTTTGAATCGAGCTACAAATAAAAATGTACGCTTAGCTGTTGTGGCTAATCCATCCCACTTAGAAGCTGTAGATCCAGTGGTGCAAGGAAAAACCAGAGCTGAACAATTTTATAAAGGAGATGGAGAAGGGAAAAAAGTTTGTATTTACTCTGATATTTGTAAATAGTAAAATATATATATATTAGCATATTTATAAATAGTTGATATTTTTAATTTATCTGTGTTATATAACTAATAAAAGTTGCTATTGATTTTTGAATTATTGAATTGAACTTTAGCACTAAATATATTTTTGAAGAGTAAAAAATCAAGAAAGTTAAGAATTCTAACAAAACAAATGAAGCATATTTGTGTTATTTTTTTTAAATATAAATGCTATTCATAATTTTATTTATTCTTTAAATTAATTTTCGTCGTATTTTGATAAAATATTGAATTGATTTTAAAAATATAATTTTTAATATACGTATAACAATTTTATTTTTTTTAAGTAATGTCTCTTTTACTTCACGGAGATGCAGCATTTTGTGGTCAAGGTGTTGTGTATGAAACATTCCATTTATCTGACCTTCCTGATTACACTACCCATGGAACTATACATATTGTTGTCAATAATCAAATTGGATTTACTACTGATCCACGACATTCTCGATCATCACCCTATTGTACTGGTAATGTATACAGCACTAATACATACAAATTATATTTATAATGTAACATGAGTATTTTTGTACTTTACTTAATTAATCTAGTATTTATATCAAATTTTATTATTTATATGATTCATCTTATGATGTTTATATTAAAGTATATTTATATAATATATTTATATTTAAAATGTTTATATTATATAAAAAATATTTTAAATACTTTTATTTTTATGTTTATTTTTGAGTCATTAAGTTGTAGTTTAATTGTATCATTTTCTTTTTAAAGTTTTATACTTTAAATTTACATTTTATGTATGAGTAAAATTATATATATAGAGAGTTTAAATTATGAAAAAAAAATGTACTTGTATTCATTATTTTAATTTAATTACTAATACAATTATTTACATTTTTTTTTTTTACATTTAGATGTTGCTCGAGTAGTTAATGCTCCAATTTTCCATGTCAACTCAGATGACCCTGAAGCAGTTATGCATGTTTGTAATATTGCAGCAGAATGGAGAAATGTTTTCCACAAAGATGTTGTCATTGATCTTGTAATTTTAAATTTATTAAAACTTAAATTCATTTTATTATATTATATTTTAACTATAGGTAAGTTATAGAAGATATGGCCATAATGAAATAGATGAACCTATGTTCACTCAACCTATTATGTACAAAGTGATAAAAAATACTCCGCCAGTCTTAGACAAATATGCTGAAAAATTAATAGAAGAAAAAGTGGTCACCAAAGAAGAAGTTAAGGTAATTAGACAACTTTTTTGATAATTTAATTACATTTTTTTCAAAAATATTACAACAAATATTGATAATTTATAAAACTATTTTATATTTTATCATTTAGTAATATATATTAAATACTGTTATATTTTCTATCCGATTTTGAATTATACTGTTCTTTTTTTGAAGGATGTTTGGGATAAATATGATAAAATTTGTGAAGATAATTACTCGGCTTCACGAAAAGAAACACATATTAAGTACAAAGATTGGTTAGATTCCCCTTGGTCTGGTTTCTTTGAAGGAAAAGATCCATTAAAAGCTTCAAAGTCTGGAGTTAAAGAAGAAACATTAGTACATATCGGTAAAAGATTTTCATCACCTCCGCCCAATGCTGCTGAATTTGTTATTCATAGAGGTATTAAAAAATTAAAAAAAGTTATTTGTAATATAAATATATTAATTTTAATGAGTTTTATTGAATTAATTATACAACTATATTTTAAAACCTTTTAAGTTATTTAATTTATGGTTTTCAATTTGATCTATTTTCATAATGTATTCAAATAAATTTTATTGATAAAAAATAAATGTGCTTAATAATGAATACATTTTTATTGAATTCAATTACATTTAAAAACAGGTATTGAAAGAATTTTAAAAGCTCGCATGCAAATGGTTGAAAATCGTACAGTTGATTGGGCATTAGGAGAAGCAATGGCATTTGGATCTCTTTTGAAAGATGGTGTTCATGTGCGATTAAGTGGACAAGATGTTGAAAGAGGTACATTTTCTCATAGACATCATGTGCTTCATCACCAACTCGTTGACAAAGCTACATACAGACCATTGTGTAATTTATATCCTGACCAAGCACCATATACTGTATGCAACAGTTCTTTGTCTGAATTTGCTGTGTTAGGTAACTATTCTTTAAAAAATTGTAATTTTCACATAATTAATGTTTTATATTTATTCATTTAAGGTTTTGAATTGGGATTCTCAATGACCAATCCTAATGCTTTAGTATGCTGGGAAGCTCAGTTTGGTGATTTTTGTAATACTGCTCAATGTATTATTGATCAGTTTATTGGTTCTGGACAAGCAAAATGGGTCCGGCAATCTGCTCTTGTTATGTTATTGCCTCATGGTCTTGAAGGAATGGTAATTCATTATCAATATTACTGTCAATATTAATTAACTTAAGTATAATTATTTTATTTATATTAGGGACCAGAACATTCATCAGCTAGATTAGAAAGATTCTTGCAATTGAGTTCTGATGATCCAGATTATTTCCCTCCAGAAAGTGATGAATTTGCTATTCGGCAATTACATGATGGTAATTGGATTGTAAGTATTATATTTTGAAAAATGTTTGACCAAAATTATTTTAATAAAAAAAAAAATTGTTTAATTTTAGGTTGCTAATTGTACTACTCCTGCTAATTATTTCCATATCCTTCGTCGTCAAATTGCTTTGCCATTCCGGAAACCATTAGTCATCATGACTCCTAAATCATTGTTACGTCATCCTGAAGCTAAATCTAGTTTTGATGAAATGACTGAAGATACAGACTTTTTGAGAATAATCCCAGAAAAAGGTGCTGCTGCTGACAATGCATCAAATGTTAAGCGATTAATATTTTGTTCTGGAAGAGTATATTATGATTTAACTAAGTCAAGGGAAGAACGTAATCTTGTTGATAGTATTGCTATTGCTCGAGTTGAACAAATATCTCCATTTCCATTTGATTTAATCAAACAAGAATGTGCCAAGTATCCCAATGCAGATATTGTTTGGTCACAGGAAGAACATAAAAATCAAGGATCTTGGCCGTATGTACAACCTAGGTTCCACACTGTACTGAACAACTCTAAACCTATTAGGTAAGTTAATTTTTATTATGTTGATAAATCCAATAGTACAATTGAAATTTAAAAAAATCCTATACATAAATAGTAATAAAAATTTAAATTTAACTTCATGTAAAAAAGTATGTAAAAACGAAACATAATTTTTTGTGCTTATTTAATATTATATGAAATTTAATTCATTATTTTTAAAGTGCATTCCATGTTTCTTACTAAAATTATTTATAGAAATCGTCATATATTAGAAGTTAATATTTTTTTAATTGATACTAGTATTATGAATGTTCATAGGTACCATATTTTAATAAATCTTAAAAGTGTATTAAAATTAATAATTTATTATAATTCTTTTTAGCATTCAAAATGCAAGACTTAAATTATTTTTCTAATTATACCTATAATTTTAATTTAATTTCCTCATAATAGATTTTTTAAATTTAAATAAATACTTATATTGATATTAAATAATAATTGTAATTGTATTTGTACTGATGAATAAATGATATGACCGCAATAATTTAAATTTTTTTTAAATTAAGTATGAAATAACAATTCATGATAAAACATTCATAAAAAACAATAGAACCTAGGCATTTTGTTCTCTGTGCAGGCCTCTTGCTAAAAATTCTAAAGGATTTATTTCACGAATATTTTCTTTGCGATCAAACAACATTTCAAAAACAAGTTTACCTGAACAGAAAAATTCTACTCGAAGTATTAGGTGAGGTTTCAATGACTCAATTAATTTTTTAGTTAAAAATCTTTTGATTTATGATTATAACTTTTTTTTAATTTATATTTTTACTAAAATCGGATTTCATTGAATACATCTTTTGTGCTTAATATTACTTCTACTTATTTTGAGTATAATACCACTTATGAAAATGAATAAATATTTATGTGAAAACTTTTTGAATTTTAGATTCTGAGCGGAGCGAGGAATGTAATGGTTTTACAATGATGTTTATTTCTTTTTATTTTTTATTTTGTAAACACTTTTTCTCTCTCTAAACTTGCTCAAAAGTATCAAGTGTAGCATCTTTTCTGAAAGGTCATGTTCTTGAGCTGGTACTTTAGGGAGGTAATTTTTCGATTTTCTAAATGGTACTCGAAATAAAAGTGGTTAAAGGAGAAAATTTTACGATTTCACGATTTTATAATATCAATAATTACGGACGACGTTTTCTACCAGAAATATTACTTCAAATGAAAAATGACTAGAGATCTTTTTTGTTGTATTTTGGATTTTGTTCCTTACGGTTTAAAGTTCTAAAGTTTCTTTAAAGTTTTTTTGTTGTAATTCGGTTAAATATATTCATAAAAACTTGAAATTAGTATTGTTTACTTATATTATATACCTAGACATGATAGCATTTTCAAAACATTTGAGCGACTTTTGAGCTTTTTCTTTTATTTTATATTTTTTTTCATTTTTATGATATTTCCTAATTATAAATTATAATTAAAGGTAATTTTATAAATTACCTATTTATATAAATTGTTCTTAAGCTGTTCTTAAAACGCTTTATTTATCACCATAAAAATAAATAAAATTAAATAAAAAAGATTCCCTTGTCCGCTCAGAATCGTTTTTATCAAATGCAATCATTGCATTCAAACCGAATACAGTAAAATTACACTATCTTGTTTGAGTTATTGTTTTTAAACTCTATTTTAAATATGATGGTACTCTTTTATAGCCAAATATTATATAATTCTGTTGTTGGTAGTTATAGCATTCCATGTTATAAAATATATTGTTTGGTTTTAAGTTAAACTAGGAACTACATACAATTAATAAAATCTGATGGTCACCAATAAAAGTTGGTTGCTTTTTTTGTTTTGTTATAATTCTTATTTGAAATAGAGTATAAAATATAAATAAATTAAGTAAGTTATTACTGAGGATTGTAGATTTCTCACTTGTAAACTACCAATTTTGGTTCTTAATGTTAAAGTTAATCTCAAACAATGTTATATTTTATTGAACATGTATTTCATAATTAATTTTCTGAAAAGCAAAAGAAGAAATGATTGGATACAATTGAGAATGATATAAGGGCTGTTAGTTTGTGTGTAGGGATTGTAGAAAATCGAGACTAGTAGAAGTTTAGGACAATGGTGGCCGACCCCAAATAGTTGAGAGAAGAGCAAGGTAGAAGAAGAAGAAGAAATAATAATAAATAAACTAAACACAATTAAATAAAATGTATTATTTTAATAACTATATATTATATCCAATTAATTTTATAATTACTTAATTAATTTTAATGAGTTTTAATTTCTTTAATTTCACATAATTGTAGGATCAAATCAATTTTTATGAAGTTTTTGTGTATTTCAAAATATAATCCATTTGAGACATGTTATAAGGTTCTTAATAAATTCTTTACAAAGTAAAATTATTGAAAATTTTCATGTATGTTTTATTTTGAATAGCAGAATATCTTTTTTGGAAATTTTAGTTCAAAGGTTTAGCATAGTTAAAAGTATAGTGCAATGTTTAATTTAAACAGAATATGTGTTTAATGATTTTAACTTGTTAGGTTATAATTAACTATAATAAATTAAATACATTGTAATAAAAATGTGTGATTTGTTTTATTTTTTTAAACATATTTTAATAATAAATCCTTTTTTATTGTACAATTTTCAAAAAATAAAATATATTGAATAAAAATACTACATTAAGTTTTTATTATACTTTAATATTAATAATATATTATATACTGAATTAAAAATTATTTTATAGGTATTGTGGACGACCAACAGCAGCATCAACCTCTACAGGTAGTAAAATGCAACATTTAAAAGAACTGAAAGCTCTTCTTGATGATTCATTTGCCATTTAAATTTTATTAAATAAAATATAAAGTATAACATAATATTCAAGTATGTGGTAGATGTTATAAATCCAATTATCTGTATTCTTACATTATGCTTTCTAATTTATGTATAATTTAAACTTATACATGAAATGTATTAGAAATTGTTAATTTATTATTTAAAATTGTTATTAGTATTTATTTGTTCTATAGTATTTGATTTACAGATTAAAATAAGTATTTTTTTTAAGTAACTCAAATTTTAAAATCAATTATTTACTTTTTAAATTCCTTAATAGCTTTAATCTTGTATTTCAATAATCTTTAAATATAATAATATCTACTATAGACTTTGTTTATTAATTCAAAAAAAATTATGTACTTATACCAACATTCATTGTAAAAGTATTTGTAAGATAGTAAATATTAAAATTGACTATCAAAAATGTATTTAGTTAACTGAATTTGAAGTATTTTAAGTTTAATATAATGGTAGCTGTTGATAATTTTATGAATTTTTAACTACTACATGTTTATTATTTTAAACAATCACTAATGTTATTTACTTAAAGCACCAATTGCATCAACTTGTGTCATTAAAGATGTATTATGTTATTTGTTATAATATATTGTGATCCATGCAAAAAATATATAGGTGTATATTTATTGATTCATAGTATTTGTAGTTAGTATCTTCCCAAGCTTTTGTGAAGTCCTAGGCAAAGCAGTACAATTTCCTTACAGCTAAATATATATAACTATTCTAACTTGGTAAATTGTAGTGCCCTACATTTTTTTAAGTATGAGGCAATTGCCTAAGTTATCTGCTCATTAATGACAGCACTGTATGTACTGTGAAATATGATATTTAGGTATTTTTTATTCTTATGAATTTTTAACATAATTTTAATACCAAAATATTATCATATACTAAACTGTATAATTGCTAATTGCTATTATTTTTAATAATGCTTTAAATTAAATTAAATTAATTATTTAGGGATTAATAATGAAATAATCACTAAACCATTATATTTTATTTAATATTGCTGTACAATAAGCACATATTCAGGATTGATTTGTTAGAGGGGATTAAATTATTTTATTTTTCAGCCCCTATAGTGCCTGATTATGATGTAATATTAAAAATATTTTATAATCAAATTACAGAATAGACATTAATAAATACTGTAGCCTTGGTACAGAGCTGACAAGAGGATGGGGCAAGGAGGGCTAGAGCCCCAGGCCTGTTGTCTCAGTTTTCTATACAATATTTTTTTTATAATCTCATTTGCTGTAGCATATGATTCAAGTTTGAATATACTGTACTAAAGTATATACAAGTAGTACGTTTGTATATCTTGGCCAAACAAGTGCAAGAGGGCCTGGAACTGTTCAGCTCTGGAGACCTCAAAAGTTCTCGCCGGTCCTGCCTTGGTATAAATATGGAACGCCCTTTCAGAATGGACATGAATCTACACATGTTGAATTTTATACGTCCATAACGACTGGTATAGGATGCAATTCGTTGCAAATAATGAAAAAGGCCTGTAATACTGTGGATTATGGTTTGTTTGTTAATCCTCCGGTCGCATAGAGATTATTGGATCAATTGTTTTGTCATATACTCGTAGTTATTAATGTAGATGTTATAATTATATTATGATAATTTATATCGTATTTATCCAATCAAACTTCGTTTGGGTTCTGATGAATTTTGAATATGATCCACAGGGTAATTATTTTGTATTTATTGCATAAAGCCGCGTACACACGAGCGCGCCGAACCTGTAATGCAACGTTGCACGCGCGGCGCGCTCGTTCGTGTGGACAGTATTTGAAACACGCGCGCGATGTTACTGCAACCGCGCGGAGAGAACCAATTTTTGTCGGTTTTTCCGACGAACACAAAGGAAATGTTCGGCGCAGTGTGGACGTGTTTATATTATTTTTATCATCGTTGAAACGCGCATACCGCTTTGACACTAGTACACTGTCGTAACCTACTTATTACTAGTACTCGTATTTGTGTACTTGTAAGTTTTTATTGTAATTTGTACTTGTAATTACTTGTAATTTTTTGTCAATAATATTTCAAAAGTTGAAGAACTCATTCGAGTAAAATTTTTATATTGCCCACTGATTTCTTGAAATTTTAAATCCATTAAAAGTTCATTTCCACTACGTTTTTTAAATAACTCAGTGTGCCACCATCTTCGTTTGCGACCCCTTTCTTTTGGTACAGCACTTCCCAAAACAACTATTGCTGCACTACAAACTAGTAAAGCTTCTTCAGCCTCCATTTTTTATATTCAAATAATTAAATTTAAAATTACTTAATTAAAACGACTATGGTCAGTCACGGTACGACTCCGAACGTCTGAACTATACGTGAAAATGTTCGCGGGAAACTGCGCTCGTTGACAGTGGATCGTTTGCGCAGCGCGTGTTTGTTGTGAATAAAAAATTATTTCGGCGCGCTCGTATGTACGCGGCTTAACGTGTCTAGAAAGTTTACATGAAACCCTACAATTGTAGTTATAATATAGAAAATATAATATAGAAAAATAATAGTTTTTCTGGGTAGGTATTTCACTACTTCAGTTTTAATTAGGTCAACACCACGGTTTTTTTAAAATTAAATCCTTTTTCACTAAGATGAAGAGTAGAGGAGAGTTAAGATAGTTTTTAAATTGTTTGATTTTGGTTGGAGAAATAATATTATAGTGCAGTTAAAAAGTGATTGGTAAATATATCTGCTTGAGTTTGTTCAAATAATGTCCAACTGCCAACAGTGATTCATAATATAAAGGGAAGATTTTGGATGAGTAATTTGTTCCTAGTGGCTTTCCATAAGAAGGCATCTGCCTAGAGAAGTAAAATTAGCGGAAGACTCAGATTTGAGATTAGATTTTTAGTTGGATATACATAATATGATTAAACCCAATGATTAAGGTTAACGTTGGTCATTCATTATTAGTGTATACATCAAATTGAGCGTTAATTAAATTATTAATTTTCTTGTTAAATCATCGCATATACCTACAAGATTTTTTTTAAATTGCATGTGATAGTTAATTTTTCTATGAAATATTTTAAACAAATTATCTACGTAAAAGCATGAACTAATAAAACTAAACGAGTTTATAGGCATTTTATTTTCTCTAACTAAAAAAAAACATTTCATGTGTCAACTTCAAACACAAATGAAAACCTAGATTTAAAAATAAAAAGTATTCATTAAGAACAGAGTTTTTACATTTCTTATGGAAATTCTCATAAAAAAATTATTATTTTTACTGCATTTATCATTAGAGTACTATGCGATATTGTACAAGAAAGAATGAAATAAATATTAGTACATAGTGGTTTAGTGTCATGGTCTGCAAACTATCTCTCGATAACTATCTGCAGCTTATGTATTTGGTTAGTGTTATACTTAAACGTGAAAACTTTTTAAGCAAGAATTGAAATTGACCATGTCTTAAAAATACAAAAATAAAAATTATTTCATGTCTATTTTTTTAAACAATAGCAAATTAAATTAATTATTTTTTTAAATTTAAATTTAATTTAATTTTACCGATAACTTGAAATATAGTCCTTAAGCATGCCCATACCATATATGTATGTTTACATTAATAGTCTATACTATATTATAGTATTTACTATTAATGTTCAGTATTTTAGAGTCAGTTGCTACTAATTATATTATATTATCCAATTTAGTAAATCGTACTATTTAGTATAAGTAAGTATTAATATCAATACCTAGTTACAATTTTAAATTGTCGTTATCTGTCAGATTTTTTAGAAACTACATATATGTTAAGTTTTATACATATTAGTCTGAGGTACTTCCCGAATCTTATAATAATAATAAAAATGTCTTTATAACATTGAAAACATTCATTTTCAATATGCTACCTAAGTATCATTATGAAATTCCATTAAATTCCATTTATTGTCCTGTCTAATTTAATGAACCATTATTGCACTTATACTCTTTTTGACCTTGACGTGGTTAGGTTTTTACAAATATAATTTTGTAAAAATAAATATTAAGACAGTTGTATTATGTTATATGATATTAACAGGAAAATATTTTGTTGTTACTTATTCCCCCAATAAGATTTAGTGGACATTTCGTGGAGCTCAATGTATTTATTTATTGAATCTTTTTCATTGCACTATTGGTATGTATCAAAGTGCTAAATTAATCTATACGAGTATATCTATGTATCAGTTGTTTTATTTAAATACCAAATTTAAGTTATTTATTTACTATAACTATAAGCACATAAATAGAAGAACATTTTTGTAAATAATTATTTAATAATTTATTACCAATGTAAATTTGAGAAATTTTTATAAATACTTAATTTTAGTAAAATCACTTTAGTGTCAGTCAAACAAAAAAATGTAAGCAATATTTTTAATTTAATATATATTTCTAAGGAGTATGAAAAATCGTTAAAATGTAATCTTGGATAGGTGGGTTTAGGTACCTATTAAAAAGTAAATATCTTGTAAGTAGATAGGTTCAATTTTTAATTTTTATAATTTATTTTGCATTTGTAATTTGTTCAACGTCGTTGGATCAATTAAACACATGTATAATTTTGGTAACTACAACTAATCCTGCCAAGATATGTATGTATAACTATTACCTTTAGTTAAAATAATAAATAATACACCTTTGACTAAAAAATTTCCTGATTAAAAAGTTAGTTTAGTTATTTGACTAATTCGCATTAATTTTTAGATTCTGTTACAAAATAATTCGGTAATTTACCCTTTTTTTGTTTGCTTTAGGCTAGATTAAGATGCATAATTTATTAATTATTCAAAAATAAAGCGAATTAATGGTTAACTTCATCTAGGTACATTATAAATGTATATATGTGTACGGGTTAAAGTGTTCAATTTTTATAATTATGACCTTATTGATAATTTAATAGATTTTTCCTTAAAAATACTTATAAACCATTGTAGTTTCTATGTTTGTATTACAATGATTTAAGCACAGTTTTCATACATACAGTTAAAATTAAAAAATTATGTACATGAACTAATTTATTTTCTCTTGTATTTTTTAATACATTTGAATATATTTGAATACAATTTTACAACATCAATATAATGCAACTATCACAAGTTTTTTTTTAAAAAAAAAAAAAAACAATTTATAAATATGATCATGTGCATATTATACTCATGTAGATATTGAAATAATTAAATGAGCGTATTACATTAATATTGTTATTTTATTCTATTATATACTCGAATAACGTAAACACTAAATTAATATTCTGTAGTGTTATCCATAGTTTATTAAGCTATTATTATTGAGTGCTGAGTGTAATTTTTTTCTCAATGCGTTCGGTGTGTCGATGTGTGTATTAACAGTTTATCATCATTCGATGTCAATCTGCGGCAAACAATTATATCCTACATATGGGATTAGGCGAATCATCGTTTCTAATAGTCCTATAAAATACACGCGTAAAGATCAATTAGTAACAGAACTATATTATAATTTTCCTACAAAGGTTAATGATCATGAAAAGCACATACGAATGATTACATAGCATAGGTATAGTGTTATATTTCATTTTTAAAATAAAGTAAAAACTGACCAGGAACGCTTAGATTTAAAAAAAGAATAACGTTCTCCGAAACGGAATGTTCGAGTGTACATGTTTATGCGGTAACATATATTAGGGGATTACAAAAAACATATAATGTCGAAGAGATCAAATTTTCCAGTAGGCGAGGTGAGCATTTTTATGACTATATAATATATATTTTATCAATTGTTGGGGGAAAAAAATATACGTAAAAACGGGTATCGAACGAGAATGCAGTTTTCACTTCAGGTTCGATTGAAAAGGGTTTTCTATCGAAATTTAAGAAAATTGTATTCTCAAACCGATTTCGACTGTTGTTAATCAAACATTTAGTGGACTTTCCCGAACTTTCGGCTAACTCTGTTTCCTTTTTTCTTTCTTCCCCAACATTTGTCGATTATATTTAATAACCGCGCTCACTTAGGACGTAATTGATGTTGCAGCGTTAAGGTTTTTATTTTGCACTGAAAACGAAACACGTAACACCCGTTTACATACCGTGGAATAAATGCGGTCGGATGATCTGTTACCGGCTATCGTGATCATCGTCGTTCGACGAATGGACGCGGACCGCCGGCGACGGCAGTACGCATTGGCCGTGAAAAGCGCGACCCCGAAGATGGCGATGGCCGCAGTGACTGCTGCGAACAGCGCAACGGCCGACGGCGTGTGATCGCTGCCGGCGCCGGCAGCGGAAGACGTGGCGGACTCGGCGTCCCAACGTTCGCATGTGACCGGCGACTCGTCATTCAACCGGGAACCGGGACAGTCGACCACGCCGTTGCATACCAGCTGGGCAGGCAGGCACTTGCTGCCGTCGCCGGGGCATGGAAATACGCACTCGTCGGCCGTCCGTTTGGCTGAGCGCAGCGTGCCGTCCGAGTTGCGCGGCAAGTGGTTCAGCTCGGACCACGCGATCTTGAACTGCGCTTTGTGCGGGTACTCGTTGCCCACGAATCGCACGTGAACGTACCGCCGCCGGCGTCGCCGCTGCCGTCGGTGCTGCTGCGGCACGCGACGCTGCGACGCGTCTTCGCCGGTTGACGCAAACGTGGCGGCCGGCTCTTCCACGTCGTTGGACGTCAGAAGCGGCAGGTCCTTGAGCGCAGTCGCGTTGTGCCCACACGCCGACATGAACGGATAGTCCAACGACCTGGACGGCAAGTACACCTCCAGCCGCCCTTGATTGCAGTTGTCCGACACGAAGTTTACCTGCACGAGAAAAAAAAGCGTCATACAACGGGCCGTAACGCGTTTGGGTACATGACGATATTATTAACCGGAAATCAGGAAAACGATTGGGTACACACGTTTAGATTCAAGGTCTTTTTTTTTCAACACCAAAAGTGAACGTTCAACGTTCGGGTACATTAAATGTTAAAAAAAAAAAATTGTGCTATATTATTTTCTCGACAAAACGTGAACCGATGTAATAAAAGTATTTTATAAGACCCTAATCAAGTTTAAATTCATACAATCATTTTTAAAACATTCGACATCATCTAAATCTTCTTTTATTCTCTAATTCTCTAATCGATTGCAATGCACTTTTACCATGACGGGTTTCAAAAACTTCAGAAATATGAACATCCGTATATCCGTACTACTTAGAAAATTGAATCAAACTGGTCGAATAAAAAAATATATTTATATTTACTCGCCATGCGTGAAAAATATTTAACTGTCCGTCATTCCCATTGCGATTTTAATCGTTTAGTTATAAATGTATTAATAAATTAATTCATTTATAATTTATGGGCAATGAATATAATAGTCAGCAGCAGTTCTATCATTAATTTACCTATATATGTACCCAAACGTTTTCTGATCTCTCAGGTAAAGTCATAATTGGATTTTAGGTCGATATGTCCAAATTTTTATCGTGAATATACTATACTATGACAATACTATGTACGAATTGATTCTATAATGCCAAAGACTATATTCTGTTTAAGCTCCTAGTGTATTTACTATTGCTGTTCTCAAGAATTGACGTTCGTGTCCTTGTTTTTCATTTATTTAACATATCGAATTATTGTTTACAATTCTAGAAGAAAATTGTAGAAGAAAAAACTATTTAATATACAAGTAAAATTTAACGAACGAAAATTTTCGCAAAAAAAATTAAGAAAATTAACTGTTAAAATTTTTTTTTAAAATCTGTAAATATTTGTTGACTATACATTTTAACTTCACTACTAATATTCTACCTAATTATATTTTGAAAATATTCAACCCTACACCGTTGTATTAATTATTAAAACATATAATGTGGTACAAATATGCATTATATTGAACATTAAATAATATATATAACAAAAAAAACTATTTTAACTATACCTATAATAACTAGATAATAAATTAATGTTAAGTCTCAAATTTTTTGAAATTGAAAACATAATACTTTTTATAAGGGTTCCAACTAGTACAGTATGATTTCTAACATGGGGCACAATTAGTATAACATTTGAATCCGAAACCTCTATTACGTAAAGGATTTTTTAGCTTTTCAAAGCACACGGGTAAATATTTTTGTATTTTTTTTTTCATATAAACATGAGAGATTAAATTTTGTTGGCCCCGTTGTACTGAACAAAAATCAATGGTTTTCATAGTATTTTATTGTTATTAGTTTTTAATTTACAGTTTTTGTAACGTATACCAAATGATTTCGAACGTAGCAACAGAAGGAGCGCTAGTATACGATTGTAGGAGGTGAGAAAGGTTTTGCATGAATTATGTAACTTATTTTCTTTTGTGTGAGATTTACGAAATAAAGTGCTATAGTATTTACATAATAGGCGGCTTTAAGAAACGGAGCCGGTTGGCTGTTTACTTGTACATACAATTTGCGTGTAGAATTTACTAGACATGTTTAAAAATCATACATACAGATTTTAGTTAATTTAAATAAAACAAATAAGTTTCAACAATGATTATATTATAGCAACATTAAACACAAAAAGGGACTATACTCTTTTAATACTCGTATAATCGTAATTTACATTGTTCAAAATCTTATTCCGTCAAATAAAGTAACTGTTTAGTTTTAAAGTTGCAGTCATGCTGTATTTTAAATTGTTTCAAGTATATCACGTTACTCATTAAACGTACAATATATATATTCAATATTATATTCATTATCAGCTAATGTATGCATGTATGCTTGTATAAACGACGACACTAGATATCATTTCAACGTATTTTATATTAAAATAATTACGAATTATATGTTGATTTCCATGAAAAAAGATTGTAATTACTTGATTGAAATGTAGCCATAAATCTCTATCCTCGTGAACACGTATCTCCCAAATACATTCAAGAGTCTTTGGGGGCTCTACAAATCCCATGGCATCTAATCGCGGGAATATAAGCTCTCCCTCGTCAATCGGATTGATAATGGAGGGTCCGCACAGAGGACCATGCACGAATTCGTATTTGGCTTCGAACAATGGCGAATCGTACTTGAAATAACTCAGAGCCGCATGCAGTGGATTTAAATTCAACTCAACATTCAAAGAACTCCCCGACGAAACGAATTTTATTTCATTGGTGTACGGGTTGGACGGCGTTGTTTCGGTTTTATTTACGTTGCTGAATAAACACAGACCATTATTTTTGTTTGCGTTCGATTGATTGATAATTGTTCGGTTTAGACCAAAGCCTTCGTCTGTCTCTTCCGGTTCCCATATTAGTAATTTATCGCGTTCACTGTACCAGCAGTTATTATCCTTTTCAATAGGTGTTCTATAATTATGGTCCTAAAAACATAAATTACAAAACACAATAAATCAAAATTTATAAAATAACAAACTATCAAGGATTTAATGAAATGGTAAATATTAAAAATGAAATATTTTCTTTTATATACAACTGTTTACTGTTCATATTATGTATATTGTTCATATATATAATATACTTGAAAAATATACATTGTTCCTTTTGAATTTTTCGGTGATAATATTTAATACGTAGACATAGGTAAATACATATGTATAATATATATTTATTACTGCAGTGCAGTATTGTTGTTAACTATAAAAATAAATTCACTACACAAAATAATGTGTAGTTTATATTTTACAACATTATTTATAACCAACCAGGTTATAAATATTTCTGACTTTTTTTTTTCATGAAATTTATTTAATGGGAATAAATACCTTGAATTTGATTGATTCGATTCTTAGGACAATCCGTGCGAATAACCGTACATCTGTTATAAACTTATAATGGCAAATTATTGGTTGAGATTTAGCATCAGGATTCGTAGCCGTTCCTTGACGTTTATACACTAGTGTATTCACGGGTGATCTAAAATACCCAGATGAAGGTTTCCAGCTAACGAATTCTTCATCACAAGCTGTGTCGGGTACGGCAGTACCAAATTTTGTGTTGTTAAAAAAGTCATAATGAGCCCAATAATACAACGACGATCTATGTAAAAATAAATACGCATAGTATTAATTATTAACATTAACTATAGGTACTCGTAATGTTTTTTATGTATTACTATTATCTACGTAATTAGCTCTAGTATTATTTATCAACTTATTATAGTTGTTTTAAATACATGAGTAGGTACTACATAAGACTATAACTGTGAATTAGTTTTGTATTGTAAAATATTCTTACCCTGAATAGCTACCAGTTTTGCTTTCGAATCGAATGAACATAGAATTTCCCGTTGAAATAAAATCGTGTTTTTCAGCTGGCTTGGAAAACGTGTCACAAAAGGTTTTTATTATTTTTGTATCATCTGGTTCTGCGGCATCATAAAGCGTCAGACTTTCACCACAGTCTCCATTCCAATCGCTTGTTACAGGACTTTCGATGCTATTAACTCTAAAGCTAATCATATAAAATTTTAAATTATATTAATTATTATTTCGTACAAAATTACGTATTTAAAAATGATCGGCATTTATTTTTAATTTTGAAGTTTTATGTTTATATAAATATTTATATTTTTTGATGATTCGACTTAAATTTTGGAGCTAAACAAGTACTTACCTAGGAAAATAAACTCGAACTACTTGATTTGGTAGTCCAAGTAAATGATATGTACAAGAAGTATGTGGAGGATACCAGTGAGCAATTGACATAAATATTCCTTCAGTATGATGATCTCTACTTAAATGTTCACTTGATAGTATCCAATCACAAGAACCATTTTTTTTGCCAGCAGTCTGCATATGCCCGGGCATATTACCAACATTGAAATGAAATCCCGTATTTAAAAGTGGCCCTATGAATTAATTAGTTGAAAAATAAAATAAACTATTTAGTATATTATATTATTGTATTTGATAAATAAATAATTATATATTCATACTTAATATTCAATTTCATATTGTAAATTTAATATTTTAATTATATAATTTGGATTTGATTCAGAAAAGTTTATATTTATGAATTATGGTGTTTAATTTAATTATTATAATTTTTTAGACAAAAAATACTATACAATTATCTTAAATGAATACAAAATAATAAACACAGTTTGCTTATGGTTTTTTTAAATTTACTTTAAATTTGATAATAATAGTTGAAGCAAATTTTTAAATGTATAATTTTTAAGATAAAATTTTAGGCCTAAATGTATGAAACAAATTACATTTACAATAAAAAATAGCTCAACTTTAAGTGGTTATTGAAATAAAACATACATCCAGAAAATATGAATTATTTATTTAATATTTTTTAATCATTATATAAGCTTTTGGATAAATAAAAACATCAATCATAATATTATATTGTAAACTCAGAAAATATTATAATATTCGTAATTTTTTATCAGAAAATTAAATTACAGTTAAAGTTAATCAAGCTAACTCAACTAAGTATATTTCAATATTTGCATATCTAAAAATGATAATATTAATAATTTATCATGATAAATTTTTACAGTTATTTTACAGTTAAAACATTTCTAATAGGAATTTATTTATATTTTTTATTTTGGTGTTATCGTACATTTATGTACTATGATAATACTCGATTTATTATTTCAAAAAAATGTAACGTTAAGAAAACTAATTGGTTATTTTTTTTTTGTTAAAATAACAATATTAAAAACTTTTATTACATTTTAACATTATTTTATCTACCAATCTAATATTGTTATAAGTTATAACTAAGTATTTTAAAACCGTCTTGATTTGATTATATTAAGAGAATAACAAAAACAAATTAGTGCTCAAACTATTACCATTTAATTTAAGGTTTTCAAAGAAAAATATTTCATATGTTACTCCTGCCTTATATAAAATTTAAATAATCATTATTCTTATTACAGGGGGGAGAAAGAGGGACGTGAATAAATTATAGGATACAAGATTATATTTTGGAAAACATAAAGCGTGTTTTATCGTTTTATGCTGAAACTTTATGTAGTTAAAATTAAGGTTAAAATTTGTTAACTATTAGTTTGAAATTGGGTTGTTATTTTCCGAAAGATTTATATAAATGAGATTATTCAACCATAATTCATGCAGTAGAAAATTAAGGGTTATGCGTTTAAAAACATATTTTGAAGCGTTATACTTTTTAATTTATTTTTATTCGATTATGTAAAATTGATATGGAGAATGAATAGAATGAATCAATTAACTGCGTGTAATTAAAAATAAACAATTAATTTTTGCATACTTTTATTTAAATAAATTGAATATTCTGTTGCGGACATACATGAATGTAGGTCCTTACGACTCTTACAGTACGGGCGGGTCCACATAAATTATAAATATTAGAAATCGCAGAAT